CTCAAGATGTTTCCCCTATCAACATCGTTACCATCTTTCTCTTTGGTCTCTTCCTTTATGTCTCCGATTTCTCATTACAAGATGTAATCAGAAGACTTGTTTAGTTATGGGAGAAGCGGAGCTCAATAATTACACTGTACGTCTTTGAAATCATCGCTCTCTTAATTTTCGATACAAATGGTATAATTCGGAGGAAGCTAGCTAGGGGATACTTCATTTCTCGGGTAATCGTTATTGTTGGTCTAATGCTCTGGGCACTATTATCTCACCTTGTGCTTTTTTTCGCCTCTTCTTGCATTCATTCACAATTTGGTCGGAATTTTGGTTGAATTCAACCAGCTTGATAAGGATTTATTTGTGTATTCTACACGTTATAGTGAATCTGTCGTGGTAATGGTTCTTCTCAATTTGAATGATCATATTTTACTAGGTCTCGAGGTACTGTATCTCAGTGCACTCGTTCCATTGCCACATAAAGAGTCTATTGGCTGTTACTGTCCCTAGACTGTCATATATGTTTCTTCAAATCATACATGACTGTATTTCAGCATGGAAGATGAAACAATCAAAAAAGTTGTGGTACTATGTCTTTTTCTGTTATATATGTCAATATCCTTTTCTTCTCGACTATAGTTCATCACAAACCACCTTTCAAATAAAGTTAAATTACATAACAATGACTCCAATCCAACCACACCAAGAGTTTGTGATTCCTCAAAACCAATATGTACCAAACAGCAACAACACTCTCCAACCATAGCCAAGTGATTCTTTGGCGATCAGAGATCTTTGTGTAGGAAGCATTGTATTCCTACCAGGAAGCTCCAGTGGCATTGAAAGGGTCAAGTGTATCCTACCTCACAGTCCATGCAAGATGCCCGAATTAAATCATACGGGATACGAACACTTTGTCATGATCCTTGATGTTTTTCGAAAACACAGCGGAGAAATAAAATGTTATATCTGTCCAGTAAGATTCCAAACAAACAAGCAAAATTATTATACTAACAATACAACAGATAACTTCTAAAGAAGGAAACGAGAAATACAAACATTTAGATAAACGAATCCTAATCAAAGGAGCCTCCGCACGACCAAACTTGTCACTAGAGCAAGTATATCTCAGGGAAGGATATATGGGTAAAACATCTTATATTCGTGTAAGCCATGTTTTCGAGATTTCCTTTTCGCTCTTGAAACCAATGAGAAAGAGAAATCAGGATCAGGTGTACTATAGGAGGCTCTTGAAACAGAGCTATTATCGGTTAATGCGGGAATTCGATCTGAAGCCGGGTGTATACGGAAATACGTGGTTTGTGATTCAGTTTGGAGCAACGATTCGCAGTAAGGATGCGACACCATCACTGAATGGTTCCAGCAGTGGGGAGATGGAAACACGACTTTTGGATCGTGAATCATCTGAATTTGCATCATCCAACGCGCCTAGTCAGGCCTTGATAACTCTTTCCCCGTCAACTTCTCAGCCAATCTTCAACTTCCCGGATCGTCAATATGGTACAATTCTTTCGGCTCTTAATACACCATCTACGCACGCATCGATCTCCACATTGCCGGTCAGGGGATCAATAATCGAGCAGAACAATGACGGCAATGAGAATTCTACATCGACTTGCCAACTTGAAGCATCTGAGATGGCTCTGCTAGACTCACAGCCTGTACCAAACAACTCCTCAAACCCCACCAACATCACCACCGAGGCCCCTCACACACCCTCAAAACTACACCAACTACACCAGCTCCGCCATCCTCCCCCTCTCGATCTCAAAAAAGCCCTCGCCCTCCTCTCAACCCCCCTCTCCCGCTTCCCCCACTACCTCCTCAAAGCCATCTTCTTCATCGGCACCCAACCCTGGGGAAAACTTTGTCTCTATTCTCTCGTTCTGCTTGCATGCTACTACACCGGAACACTTAAATTTGGATTCCTAGCTATCAAGGGGCTCGATGGATGGTTAGAGACTTTGGGGAATTGGTCTGTGCGGGGAAATTTTAATATTGCGAGGGTTTTGGGTGGGTTGATGAAGGTTTGGGGAGGATTGGCAAGTCCGGTATTGTTGAGGGTGGTGAAGGTTGTGGGGGGTTTGTTGAAGGACGTGGGGTTGTGGGCTGTGAGGAAGATTGTGAGGCGGGGTTGAAGGTGATCTAGGTTGTGAGGATTGATGGATCTTTAGGATAGAAATCTTGGTAGGGCTTCATGCTTATCCGGCTGGGCTGGGCAGTTCGACTGTAGACACTTGCCTGATATGTGGTCCTTTATCTGGAGAGAGATTGAGACTCAATGTACTTACGTTTTATCTCCCAAATCATGACTACGAGCGTGCCTTTTCTTTCGATGTGAATGCATCATCGCATGTGACAAAGAATTGCTGAAACTTGACTTTTAAATATCGCAAAATATCGCTAAGAAATGGCCAATAGGAGCTTAGCATATGATTTAGTCTCTACCTAGGTAGGTAGTCAAACGAAAGTTCTTCTCTGCAGAATCTGAAAACGGAACATCACCCAGAGAATTCAGCGCGGTGGATAAAACCATTTGGAATAAAGATAACTCTCAACCATGAGTGAATGTCTAAAATATGGTAAATTGCACTAAAAAACTTGGGAATGGACAGCCAGAAGTCCGTGAAAGATCAAAATATGTTACCAATTATTATCTATTTTTTGTATCGGCACCGTCATGCTTGAAAGAGTGGAGATTTTCCTTTTCATAAAATGGTAGGGCTCCCTTTCGAGTAACTTTTGCGCAGATATCCCTCATCACATCCGACTTGGAAGAGACCACAACGATCTACCACGTGCATCTACGTGCTGTAAAAAAGTATGTGTTACAAGTTTTGTGTGAGTAGTGAGATCTTCATAAAAGTAAATTTGTTATATTCAAAGCTTGAATACCTTCCAGTCTTTGATGCGCATATAGCCAAGGACGCCTCCAACTTCGCCTTGCTCTTGTTTACCATTCTGCCATCTTTTTGGTCCAGCAAAGTGGTTTATGAAACCCTCGGGTCCTGATACAAAGAGCAGTTTTGAATTACTCTTTTCCGTGACTGATCCAGAACCTACCACCGAACTGGGCTGTATGGCTTGTGATATCATCTTCTGATTGATGAATGTTCCCTCTTCATCCACAACATAATTTACTTGAAGGTTTTCTGGGTATTTTTGCTGCATCCTTTGCAATTGCTGAACCATAGACCCTTTTGCTGTAGGTATGTCTGACTTTGAGCCAGACTTGTATGTTTCACCTCCAACACAATCTTCTCTTCTCCTATTTGCCCAAACTATACAAATCCGTGGTAGCTTGCCATCTGAATTTCGCGCTTCCAGTAACGTATGAGCAACCTGCATGGCAGGAGCAATTCCCGTCCCACCAGCCAAGAAAACAACCTCATCCACATTCTCTGGCAAGTCAAATTCAACGTGAGGGCCTCTGAGCTCAATCTCGGAATTGGCTTGTAGCCTAAATAAATAGTTCGACATTTCCCCATTTGGTTCCTTTCGAATCAAGAAACGAAGTTCACTATTTGTGGCGTTTTCATCGGGTGGTAATGGCGTATACGATCGTGCGATTTGCAATAGTGGTTGCTTAAATTCTACTGACCAGAGACCTTTCTCCCAGTATGCAGCATAAGGATCTGATTTTGTGGATTTTTTCGGTTTGATAGTCAAAAGTTTACTTGTCGATGATACAGTTTCCTCTGAAACAATAGAAAACTTGGTAAACCTAGGAGAGTCAAATGGATTTGAATCCGTGGTTTTAAACTCATTTACAGCTCCAAGTATTAATGATCCCACGAAAACTATTTCAGTAATGAGTATTAAAGCTCTCAATACCTTTTGTTCCTTTACGCTTTTTACCCAATACAACACTTCTGTTCGTGGAATGGGAATTATGAGAGGATAAAAGACGCCAAAATATTGAGGTCCCTTGGGTGGCGGTGCTCTTCCAAACGTCATGAGAGGATTTTTTGGAGGTTCATGCCAAGGATAAAAATAGTGGCGTCGAAAAGTGTGAGAAGGGGAACATTGTGTAGTGTGTATTGGTGTTTTGTGGCCATACAACTGTTTTGGCCATAACCTTGCCGCAGTAGGAAGAAGAGTTTGCCGTCGCATTGGAAAAATTGAGGAAATGGAGATGATATGCATGACATCTACGAAGGTAGGTAAGGAAATATCGATGAGCAAAGACTTCGGATTATAGTACTTCCGGTGACAAGATTAACCAAAGGCGGTGAAGAAGAAATCATCACACTGTTCATGATTCAAAGCCAAAACTTCAATACTCATAAATCATTCTATACGATTTTGAGAGCAGTACAAAGAAGTCTAATCAACCACTTGATCTTAAAATACAAATGCCTATTATGGCAATGTATGCTACAATCGAATCCATGAGTTTTTTTGTTTTCCAACTTGACCGAATTCTATCATATAATTCACATCAACATTTGCGAAATACCCAAAACTCAGCGTCCACCAGGGTCTTCCCTTTTCATTCTGTTTAGTCTGTTCCCTAAAGATTTCCTCGTCTAGTTTCAGGGGCTTATGTTTCAGATTATGTACTATTCATTTCCTCTACGATGGAGATTTTGTCAAGTCTCTACTCGCATGATGTCAATGTACGTTTAATTCCACCTCATAACCTTAAGCACTTGTCGCTATATTCTATTAATTCTATTCTTTATCATTAAAACAAATGACTTCGCATATATATATATGTATACATTAGAACATAATTGAAGCATCCAAATTTCAATGATCGCTTGTCTCAACGAAAATCAGGTATGCTTTTTCCTATACAATCACGCATTGGCCTACCCCTTGAGGTGATTTTGCCTCGTATTCATCATCCTATATTTTTGACGACTTGGGTATCTTATTTTCTCGTCAAATCTCGGACTCATGAACGTGTTGCATCCACCAACGGTGCATTAAAAAGTACAGTCCATATTCCAACTTCTAAATCTCTCGTCTCCCTCTTCTTTCTATTTCCCCGCGGCCGTACTTCCGGATAACTCGTAAGATATATCGTTGCCATGCAATTCTCCTCCTCGTTGATATACTGTTGTATCTGGAGCTTCCGTGACATAAGGAGGAGTATTATAAGGTTCATCGCTATTAGGCTTCTCATAATATTGCGTTGGTCCATCAAGCTCACCTACAGGAACAGGTTGCAATCCACGAGGGCGTCTTCTGAGTCTTCTGAATAACAGAAAACTTCCCGCTGCAATGAGTAGAACACCAAGAGCTACTCCGATAGCCACACCAGCTTTGGCACCAGTGGACATTCCTGTACTCGATGATGCTGATGATGAAGATGCTGAATCTGTTGCTGATGATACATTACTTGGAGACGAAGTTGCGGATGCGACAGCGGCTGAGCCACTTCCAATTGGTGATGCCGTTGAGGAAGATGTAGAAGATGAAGCTGTACTTGATACCCAAGAAGGATCGTCTGAAGCTCTCTCGATGATTACACCATAGGCTGCCACCTTGTCAACGCCCGATGTGACAGTTATCGTCGTGCTGGCGTATATGACGGGGTATGAGGTTGTGCTTGCCGCAGTAACAGTATCGAATAATACGCTATTGATCGATAACGTTTCATCTTCCGAAAAGTAGGACGTACATCCATAAATTTGGTCTGATGCTCTATTTGCGAAACACGTATAGCCACTGTGTTTTTTGTTAGTCACCAACTATTATTCAAACCTGAGCTTCTCTCTTAGGGCAATACATACGTGGGACAACAAGTAGCTATGGTTTTTGTAGCACTCGAGTCTGTGGAATATGACGAGCAGGCGGCACTATAGCCTGTTGGACAGACACCCGGAGAATAATAATCTAGTAGGTGTTAGCAAGAGCTATTCACCAGCATGAAATCGTCTAGATGATCCAATAAAGATACAAAGAGATATTTGAATAGACCCAGAACGTTGAACACGAGATTTCAAGAAAGATATTCAACGACGGCCAACATGGCAGAGAATAAGAAGGTAAAATCGACGTTTAGTCTTACATGCTGTTTCACGATTGAATCCACTGGGCATACAAGTCGTACTCCCACTACCGATAGCACCATGCGCAAGCCAAGAATTTTTCAGATTTTGAGCCCAGAAAATTTGATTACAATCAGAGCCTGTGGGTGTATAAGTTGTAGTCAATGGGCCTACCAAATGACTTGATGCTGATGCAGTTGCGGCGCTCGTGATTGTCGACATCCTACTCGAAGCTGTGATGGTTAATCGTACAAACGTACTTAGATTTGGAAGTTCGAAAAGTTGAAAAGCAATTGTTGGAAACCGTCCACGACAATCACGGCGGTAGTATCGTTCGTTTTGTTAGTAATATATTCAGCTCTAATCCCTCCACTCTTGACCCTGCCAGAACGGATGTTACATATCCACTGCCTCCACTTTACGGGGCTTAGCGTGGGCGGGTCAACAGGGAGAACAATTGTATTGGCACTTTGGCACATGGAATACCGGGGTCTCTCGTTACACTTTACCATTTTCTACACCTCTAACAACGTAGCGAAAAGAAAATGGTGCGTGCGGCTCTTTCCTGGTCAGTTCTGCAGGAGGTGTATGTAAAAATCCCCGGTACACCTGATGATCGTTCAAGGAGATGCTGTCAATAATAATTAAATTGGCTATTCGCAGGAGAAAAAACAGGCGGGATTCGACCACTTCTACGATATAATATCATTCAATTACTTTCCTCCAATATTATATAAAATAAAATTTCGAAATATCACCTAAACAATAAAGAGCCAAATATTCTTTTGATCTTTTTGAATTTATATAAATCATTTTAAAATGATTTATTATTCAATTAAATTAGAAGATTTTAATAAAGATTTAAATTATCAAATTCCGCCTGTTTTTTCTTCTACGAATAGATTGGTAAGGGAGTATATAAGAACGAAATGTTGATGCAGGCCGGTATTCAAATTCTAGCGGTCCAGATGAAAAGACCTACGTAGATGGAAGTCAGCACTAGCTGATTGTGAAAACCACATCGATCCTTCATAGGCCACAAAGCATGAGCGGTACTAAAATGAGACATAATTGTGTATCGGATATAGAAATTGCAGGAATGATAAACTTTAAATCAGTGATGTAACGTATATCCGTCAAGTTTTCGACACCGTTGATTTCGATAAACAGAGCCTTTGAGTGTTTCATAGATCTATCTATTCATACTTCAATGGGAAAATTATTGGCTCATCGTATCTCCTTCATAAATCATGAATTGGGGGCTATTCAGTATAGATGCTTTTGCGAGCATCGAATACACACTCCATCATCATAAAGAAGTTGCGCTGCGGTAAGGTTAGCAAAGCGATGTCCATCTCACCAGATTGCACGAAGTATGCGGGTCTGAAAGAGGCAGAATCGCGAATTAATTTGTAGTAGAAGTCTGAATGTAAGTGTGATAGCGAAGTGCATTAAAAGAGGTCTCGCATCATAATCATCAACCAAGCCATTCAATCAATGCCATTCGAGGAGGGTTGCTATTTTCTGATTTTGATATCAATTTTATCAACATTCGAAGAATTCTTAGAGTGTTGTTGTTGTATAAGGAGTAGTCTTGAGCCGCCAGTAACTACTCTGTGTCTGTGCTAGCTCGAGACTAATACTTTTAGTGAGATCTAACTTTTATAGGCTAGCTTATCCGAGGGACAACGTATCATTCGACGACCAAATCGCCGGGCCCTCTCTGTATCATCTATTGCGGAATACAAGCTCAAAGCTGTCCTGTAGGCTCGACTCATCCGCTTGGCCATTGTGGTCTAGGATGATTACATCAAAACCCTTCTATGGAGAACATTCGTGTTGATTCGGCACTCAAAGGTTAGCGCTTGAAGGCAGGTGATGTTCTAGAATATTGATATCATGATGAGTAAGAAATACTCGATTTTCTTATTTTTTTCATTGCCACGCACCTTTCTGCTTGTGATCAAGAAGAATGACTTTGAAAATACTGTGATTCTTTCTTCCTTTGAGTAGAGATTGCTTCTGGAGTTCTTTACAATTTCTTTCGTACAATTCATTCCTTTTTTGGCTCTTTTCATCGCATGCTAACCCAGTTTTTTTCATACCAGATAATCGAATTCTACCAGAAAAAGTTCCTACAAATGCTCAATCGCTTTTATGCTATGGTCTAAATAAGTATAACGTCCCCGAAGTTCCACAAATCACCCTTGAAAACTATTTTTGGCAAGTAAGCCGCATATGAGCTGGAACTTATCCTGTATCAGCGAGCCAAGCAAAGTCCTTCCCTTATGTCTTGATTTCTCGCTATAGCCTTTTCCTTAGCTTCTGTGGAAAGCTCGCTTGGGCATCTTAGCGGATTAAAAAGATGTCATGGTAAACATCATCACTAGATATCTTCATGATGAATTTGTGTGATTTTCTCTTTCATCTTGCTAGATGTAACTCCCAGGAAGTATCCGCGTCAAACACGATCTAAGCTGTAGATATTTTGTTGCATTTTTGCGTGTAAAAGGAATATATTCCCGTTTATTGATACCTATACATCATTACCAGGGTATCTTAAAGACTTAGAAAGCCAATCGATATAGACGAGTAGAGACCCATGTTTACCGACCTTTTTTAAACAAAGATCGGATCATCCACTCAAACGACGTCGAACTCTCTCGCGCAAAGAATTTATATTTCAAATCTGTACCACAATCTACACGTTGGATGGGTTGTAGGAGACTTATCAGTATGAGCTTTAATATCTTAGTGAACATACTCGGAAAGTCCATACGAACGAGCCGAACAACCCTATAATCCATAACGCAAATTACCAGCATATGATAACATTTCAGTAATTCTCTTTGAGCCCCTTAAACATTATCCACCACATCTTCTTTATTCGCATCAATGCTCTGAATCATTTCGCTCTATTCCAAAATACATTCTCTCTACTAGGCGAGAGGCAATTTCTAACGTCAGGTTCGTAGCCTAGAAAGTAATCTTCCGCTATCTTAATATCATAATGGCTCACGTAAAGCCGTGTCCTAATCTGACTTTTCAACTTTTCTGTTGCATCCATAACCTTATCTGAAAGATCCAAATTACAGGCCCCCTCCTGAAAAATCTGTCAGATATCTGATTAAGATCATATCAATAGCTCAGATTTCAGCCCAGACTATTATTTTAGAACTAGCGACTAAGACCAATCTGAACTCACTTACTATAAACCCTTCAGAATATTCTGTTGCGCGTCTGTAAGTAGCATACTGTAAGCCTCATCTTGAAAATTCTATAAATTGTATCCCGAGTCTCTTGATTCTTACAACTCCCCAAATCTATTATAAAGAAAGAATGAAAAGTTGAAGATGAAAAAGAAATTCAAGACAAAATCTACATATCTTACTTTTTCTTTTCTAACCCGCGGCTGCTGTTCTAGCTATCTTCGAAGACTCATTCATTAGCTATCCGCAATATCACCAATTTGGCAACATAACGCTATAGAAATCATCAAGATATTTCCTCTCTGGCAATTTTGAATGTCTTCTGTTGCATATCTATACCAGATGCTACTTGCAAATTCAGCTAGTAGGAAAAAAATTCTTCCTCGTTATATAAAATCATGATATAAAATTAAACGAAGCTACCTAGTAGTTCCAAGCTTTTCAATATTACAATTCTCAAGAGCGGAAGAGTCAGCCCTAATTAATACCATCAAAGCCTCATATAATGAGAGCCCTTGACTTCATACACGACCTAGTATTCCAAACCAACCAATCATACTTCCCCCTTCCCCATCCCCCATCCCTCAAAATGAAAACTCAACATCACACAGTGAATCTCCCCAAAGACCCCACAATCTCCAATCTCCAACATCCAACATACAATCTCCAACACCGCCCCCCTCACAACAAAATCCACGGTGGGTGGTGAAGTGGCTCATACCTCTGCATCGAGGCGTCCTCGTTCGTATCGGAGATAATAGCTGTCGCGAGGGCGTCCCCACGGAACAATCTGTTAGTATCGGAGATAATAGCTGTCGCGGAGAGTTCCAAGTGTATTTTTTTTTTTTTTATATTATCATTTTTTTTTTGGACTTTTTTTTTCGTATTATTTTTGGACTGTGATTTGGAACGGGGTGGAAAGAAAAGAGGGTGGTTGGTGATGAGTAGAGGATGAGATAAATTCACTTTGATCTTATGGAGAGTATTTGTATAGTGTATGAGTAGGTACTTGGGGTAGGTACTGTACCTAGTAATGAAGAATGTATGAAAGAGGAAGAATGATATCAAGAGTAACAAATCACTACTATCCAATATAATCAATCATCAAGCCCCAAAGCACAAGAACAAGCCCATCAAACGTATTCTTCAGGACAGAAACATCTATTCTATCTTTCAGTCATGGACCTCAAGTATCTCATCTTCAAGCATTCTCACGGTAGGTAGCTCGACGTTTCCGATTAGATATAATAATAAGCGTATAAGTACTCTTTCATCTGATAGGAGATACCTATCTATATCCTATAAATGAAGAATAAAAACGAGATAGAGATAGAGATATAATACCTCAATTTCAAGAAAGGAAGTCAATGAGAATCCTAATATTCTGAACTATACATAAAGGAATATGAACTCATACGAATTATTCTATTCTATATAAATCAATATATCTTTCTTTCAAGATCTTCATTCAATCTTCAATCTTCATATCTAGTATATTGTATCTGAAATTCTATAAATTATATAATTCAAAGAGAAACTTTGAGTTAATTCCCTATTCAATTCCAAAGCAATATCTAAATATCCTTATGAAAACCTTTTAGAATAATTGAATGTGAATGTATGATATATACATATTAATTTGATCTAGCAAGTAACAAGATCAGAACAAAGCTAGCAATATCTCCATCGCATATAATCTCACAAAATGAAAACGAATCTTCACAATCATCTCAAGTATCAATACTATGAATCATTAAGAATTTACTTCGCATTAACTTCATCCCCACCACTTATTATCTTCCAATGCAATCTAATGCAATATATGTCCCATCAACGCCCAAAAACTTCCATTACCATGTATCATTCAACTATGCATCCACCATGCAATTCATCATCATATTACATCTCATCTCTATCGATGAATGAATGAACTTTTGAACCATTCTAAACTCCCCCAAGATATTGTTGAATCTTCGATGAATATATCAAGGATCTCTATTGTTGATTCCTATTTAAATCATCAAAGCTAAACCACCAGCGATACCTGCAAAACCAAGCGCAACAGCTTGTTTGCTAGCAGCACCGGTTGCAGTAACGGTAGCTGCGGTACCAGTAGCAGAAGCGGAACCGCTTCCTCCGGATTTGGTCGCAGTGACTGTGGAAGCTTTGCTTGTGAATGTGGTAGACAAAGCGGTGGTGGTTGCAGTAGAATTGCCAGAGACAGCAGTGACAGTACCGGTAGATGAAGCAGAAGCAGCAGAACTTCCATCGGTATCGGTAGTTGGGCCAGATTTTGGACCGACGGTTCCACCTTCAACAGTATCTGGAGCGATGGCTTTGGCGACCTTGGCGGCGGCGGCTTGGTAGTCATCGAGAGTTTGGGAGGCGTCGGGGTTGTTGCCTACGATGATTTGCATCGACATGCCCTTTTGGCAGTGCTCGGAAACGGAGCAGTAGAGCCACAAGGTACCGTTGACATGGGTGTCCATGATGAAGGTAGGAGCCTGGGAGGAGAAAAATATGATGAGCATTGATCCGTGAGATGGGAAGAAGAATACGTACAGGATCAGAGGAAGATGGATCTGGGCCAGAGATAACACCAGAGAAGATGGGAGCATGATCGGAAGGAACACATGGGCTATCGTAAGAGCTCTGTGCGACGCTGTGGGTGCCAAGGAATTGGAACTTGACACTATTACAAGATTAGTAAATTGGATAGGGAGTGTGTGTACAGGATAACCTACGTATCACCCACTTGAACAGTCAAGGCATTGGGAACAAAAGTAAGTCCACTGCCACCAACGACGACGGATCTCTCAACTGCCAAAGCAGAGGAGACAAGAGCGACAAGAGAGATTAAAGATTTCTGCATTTTTGCGGTTTGAGTTGATTTGAATGATTGACGAGAAACTGAAGGAAGATATCGTTCTGATATTTCAAAGTTTGAAAAGAAACTAGTTATTGAAGTGGTAGTAAGTAAAGTAGTAAAGAGAAGATAGATATCAAAGAAGTGGATGTTGTGAGAGAAAACCAGAATGTCCAATCGAGGAATCCCACAAACTTTATATAAAAGTTTTTTTTTCTTCCCTCCACCACATGCAGCTTCTCAGAAGTCCCGGAAGAATGGATTTCCGTACCTACTCAGCCTTACCTACAAACAGTTGTTTCCCAAACCATTTTGGAAATTACATCTCCATTCACTCGCACCCAACCCGATGGTGCGTGACTTCGCCCGCAAGTAAGGTTAATCCCTGTCTAATCTGAATGCTTAATTCCCCATACATTCAGGTACCGTGCCGCCGAGCCACTCAAATCACAACAAGCATTTTTAGATCGATTGGCTCGAGATTGTTTGCAAGTTATTAATCTAAGTAAGTAATAAGTAAGTTTTCGATACTTTTTTGATACTGCGCCTGGATTTTTCCGCAGTAAATATTGATTCTTTTGAATAACTACTCATAGGTATGCATGAACGACATACCTAAAACCTGGATAACCTGACTTCAGCCAGCAAAGAACTTCTATTTTTGAATTTAAAGAAAAAGCTAGGTACCTACAAGTCACATGCACAGCCACAAAAAAGACGCCCTCCCACCTTCTACTCTACTTAGACGTACCTACCTGCAGGTATCTACCTACCTAGGTAGCTATGAATAAAACTACCAGGTAAATATTCCCATCTCCATCTCCATCTCCATCTCCATCTCCAACAACAGCACATCGCATAACCAATCCATCATAACCACTCCCTCTCGCAATCCCCAGTCCAGTACACCACCACACCGTGTCTGTCAGACTCACACCAACAAAAATACGACGTTGCACACACAAAATGTAAGACGAGGTTGGGCTTACGCCAATCTCATCTTGACAAATGGGCTGGGAAGGATGGGCGGGGTACCTGCAGCTGTGCCGCAATCACGTGTTTGCTATCTACTTGATCGGATTCATGGGCATGTCACGCAAATGTCTCGGGTCGATGAATACTGGTGAGAAATCGCTCTTCAAGGTTTTCGTTTTTATCTGGATGATTGGCTACTGGCAATCGGGTGGTCATTGTGGTATGCCGATAGGTAGGTCGGTCGGTGAACCTGGAAATGATCAAAAAGTCAAATGAAGACTTTTTCCTCAATAATTTCCTACTTTCTTCCGCGTTCATCTTGTGATGTACTGATTTTCATTTCCGGTAGTTCCGACTTCTTATTTCATTTAACCTTTAAATTAAGAATTCCAAATAGTTCATGTATGCAGGTACCGTACCTGACACTTCTTGATTGATACGAAACGCCCAAAAGTATATTATATCGCTCAAACTTCTATGTTCAAATGCTAAGTGTGTGTGTACAAATTACGTATAATCTATTATCAAAAGGCTACGCGCAAGGTTGCACGAGTTCTCGATTGCGGAACGTTGTTCGGAAATCTAGTTGACGTACGAACCAGGAATTGTGTAAGGTCCATTCTTGCTCAGGATGTTCAAGTGCGATCTGAAGGATGAGATATGATGTCAGTAGGTGTCCTATCCATGTCCTTCTTCGCGCCTCGTTTCGCGCCTGGTTTCTCCATATATCCACCATCTACGAGAAGGAAAGTGGGTAAGAACTCACCTCAAACCTCCTCAAGAAACTCGGCACCAATTTGTAAATCTCCAAAAGACTGATATTCCTTCCAATACAAGACCTGGCGCCCATTCCAAACATCAACATCGCTCCATTCATCTCCTTAATTCTTTTCTCCTCTGATTCCCTATTCAATCCTTCTCCTATCAACCATCTTTCCGGCTTGAAAATCTCTACATCATCTCCAAAAATCTCTCTTCTCTGGTGAATCACCCAAGCACTACATCCTACAACGGTGCCACCCTTCACCCACTCCCCGGCAATCTCTATTCCTTGTTCTGGTACAACTCTCTCGAGTGGTAGGCCCGGTGCTGGATGTAAGCGGAAAGCTTCTTTGATACAAGCATCCAGATAGGGCAGCCCTTGACTTTCCGTCCAACTAACTAGACCCGTTTCTCCGTCCGCAAAATATCCTTCCCTAGCTTTCTGATCAATTTCGCGCATTAGCTTTTGCATACAATGTTCATTCTTCAATAAATAATAGAACACGGCACTAAGAGAAATCGCCGTAGTTTCCGATCCCGCAAATGCCATGGAAACTGCCATCGTCATGACGAGTTGATCTGTCATGAATTCAGGTCTGTCGTGTTTTGCCTGTATGAATTTCGACAATAAATCTGGTTGTAATTTATTTGTTTTGACTTCTGCGTCAACGGTAGGTAATATTCCATTTCCGTCTGTTTTTGGATATCGTTCTCGCACACGTTGTGCTGCGAATTTGGCGACAGGAAAGGTGGCATCCACAAGACCATATTTGGCAGCGAGGAGGTAAAGGGGATTCTTGAGGAAGAGTTTATCGAGAATCGGCATTTGACCAATGGGTGCAACGTAGTCGAAGAGATTTCCTAGGTAAGAAATTATACCATCGACATCTCGGTTTTCTTCAAGAAAGCCATGACGCTTTGAGTACGTCATTTCGCCAATGACATCGAACGCGTAAAACTGCAACCATTTTGCAAAATCGCAGGAAGAATGGCTGGTGGGTGAAGTAAAGAGATCGGCAGTACGAGAGAGGAAGATTTCGGTCGTACGAGTGACAAGTGGCTCGTATTGTACAAGAGATGACATGCTAAATGCAGCATTGACTGAACGTCGGAGTTGGGCATGGAAGGGCTCGGAGGTAGTGCTAAAGAGTGATGGGAGTGCATGGCCATTGGATACAGATTGCTGAACCGGGTAGAATGCGGACTGTGATGTGTTAGTGTACGATCTGAACTAGTGAATCAGCACCCCTCAATACCTTTACAAAACCTTTGTTCAATCCATAGATAGTTTTCAAAGCTTTTGGGTCTGCGAAAGAAAGGGTATTGGGTCCAAGGCGGACAATATCTCCATGCTTTGCATGTAGCTTTTGATGGGTGACTTCCGGGCGACGCTTATACACATCGTAGAACCTCCACCAATCTGTGAAGGAAGCAAGAGTGGGCCCTGGATATTTGTTCAGACCACGATTGAAACGATTTGTGGCGAGATAGATGGCAATTGCAACAATCAATATTGAAGGCCAATGCCGAATGGCCAGATCCAAAATCGTATCAGTGATCATTTTGTTTGTAGTGCGGTATGTAGGCACGGGACAGTAAGGTAATCTCTGGCGATAAGTTTCGACTCACAATCGAGCGTTCGTTATAATAAAAGAGACCTTTGGTAGTAATATATCATGTACGAAGTAGGAAGTCAATAGTGTGGAGCACGTCAATGCTATGAAAAGGTTCGCGTCCAACGTCGAAGGTGTAAGACGAAGATTATGGAAGTCCACTATATTCGGTGCAGAGTATGCTAATATGACAATATAGAAGGGAAAAAATGTAGCAAACCGTGGATCTTTAAGCATCCATTGTTCGAGGGAGGGAGCAACGTATGAGATGTAATTATAAGCGACGGCGAACAAGCATATGCCACAATATCATGCCGTGTTTCAATCAGCTTACCATTTTCATACTCCTAGGCAATTAAGGAAACGCAAAATTCTTGATTTTGTCAATGTATGTATCGCCAAAGTCGGACTAGTGAACTTTAGAGGCGTCGAGCCATGAGAGACTTCAACCTCAGACGCAATTGCCGAATATTCTTTCCGTTTCATGTGAGAACAAACAACAAGAGATAAATGAAATTCGTGGCTAGTGGTTCGAAATTGCTTGAAATCATCATGTTGAGTGACTTCATTCACTAGCAATTGTGCCAATGCTCGGATAATTCTTTAACGGCCGCTGTCAGCTTAGTCATTTGAGTAGGACTCAACGCTATCGGCAAATAGCAACGGGAATGCTCTTCACTAGGGAATTTAGAAAGGTGATGAATACATCATTAATCGATGCACCGATTACCATGATTGTGAGACCGAAATAATTGTATGTGCAGCAATAAAGAACCCCTCATTCGTACACGTGGATGTGCGGCATAAGCAGAGCGCCTTCCTCGTCAGTCAACATATTTGATCGTAAAGCACCCGCAAATCCTTTCAAAGATTGAGCTCGATGCTCGATGCGAACATGAGCTGCCGAAAATGCAATCGCATGTAAACGGGTAATCGATTCCGAACATGGGTCAAATTTATGCATGTATGGGGTGAGGAATTCTGGGTGAAGTGGAGGACGAAGTGGAGGACGAAGTGGAGGAGAAAGTTGTGTGGGGAAGATTGGAAAAGTGCTGTGTCACGGGACTTTTTTCCACACAAAAGCAAGGTATTATCGGTAGTTGGCAGAAACACACTTGCCGAAATGTCCACCGGAATTACGAGGCAGTGTGATTGTGGGCTTTTAGCTTTGGCCATTAAAATCACTTTCCCTTGTTTCGTGCTTGTTTTCAGTATTTTTGGGAATCCTTCAAAGCATAATGATTGTAAATCGAGTGACAGATCATACACGGCAGTTATGAATTGTCGAGCTTGTGGACATAATCAATGCATTTCGCGATATCTCTGGTCGACATCATACCGAAGGAGCTAGAGAGCACGGAAACCGCAATTTAATAACAGCGAGCTTGTTGGAATAGGTAGAATTTGACAGAAGAAATACAATCTTTCGTGTGGGAGTTAAGGACGATTTCAGAGGATGACTTCACGACTGGGAAACTGCAAAGGCGCCCAGGTATTGGCATATCAGGGCAAAATCATTGGGACCATGTACAGACTAACTTCTGTGTGTCGTTTTATGTTTCGAGCAATCGTCCAAATTCTGATTGGGAATCAAAACTTCTGGTTTACTTTGCCATGGAAGCAATGCAAGGAATGACAGCGTACTTGAAATGCTTGCCGGCAAATAGCATGTGTGTCTTTCACAATCGCCAATAACCCTCTTTGGCTACTTGAAACAGGCACTTGCCTGAGATATTAAACTTCGAACAATCAGTTGAAGTGCCGAAGTCATTGGCCAAAACGTCATTCGACGATTAGGGTTCAATGACCACCGGGGTAACCTTATATGAACATCGTCAATCCCGGAACTGAGTTATTTGATAGAATATGCTAAAATGATACTCGGAGCGACATATCTCGGACTCCATGCATGTTCCGATGTCCCTCCTTATCTGTGTGTATCCCCGATGTCAAATTGTTGTATAGGATTAAACTTTGTTCATCGAGTCTTCTGTAGTCTGCGAAGGAAACTGGGAAACTGGGAATCTTTGGTATTCGAATTAAAGACTTTTCGGAATATGGTTTGAACTTTCATTTCTTAGTTTAAAAGTGGCTAGAGAAAGGCCGAGCATCGGAGTACTTCAGAAGTTTAAGGTTTCCTTACTATGCACTGAAGAGAACAGATTCGAGTCTGCAAAGTAGTATTGTAAATGCCAGAGAACCGACACATTCTGCTTGTCTTGTTAAGTACTGAGAGAGGAGATGCTGAGTGCTATGAGTGCTTTTTGCTTAGTCACCGACTTGACACTGGGTCCACATTTCAACAGAATTCAACATTTGATACGAACATCAACTCACAACTAAAAATATGATCTAGCACTCGAAGATGGGATTCTGCACTTGCTTTTCTTTCTCACGAGAATCGGTCTTGCTGTTTTTTGTTGAATTTTACCACTGATGGTTTTCAACTTCACTGCGAGAGCTACCCCCATTTCTAAAAGATCACCAGCTGTGCAACAATTTGGAGCTCGATCAACATGGCAAAGTGAGCCTGACCACGTTCTGGGCAATTCATGAATAAAACTCAGCGACACGAATACAGCAGAAGACTTTTTACAAGATAAATTATGGACATCGGACCTCGAGGAACAAGCACACAACTTACGTCTTATGTTAAGTTCTTCCAAACCAAGAGGCAAAATTTGCTTTTTGCAGTATCACCTCTTCAAGCAATTTAAAACATTCTTTTCGAACATCCACGACGATACCTCGTGTGATGACACAATTTCGCTGTCCACTAAACGATTGCAAATTTATTTTCTATAGTGCAAATGTTGGCAGATGTCCTTCAGTGATCCTCTGGAACATCTCAGGAAAGCGTCGTTTGGTTTTTCGCGAACATATTGGTCGTTTATTCGACAAAAGTCGGACTTTCCCATAGTCCAAGACGTCTGGTATTGTTTGATTCCAGATGACAACAATTGGAATTACTTCTGTCAATTGATGTCTTTCTTTGATAGCATAGAAGATTCAATAGGTCTCGCCATGCGATCACTATGGCGAAATGAAATTTTCACGTATCAACACCTATGCACCGATTTTATCTCACAAGTTTTAGTACGAATAGACTAGAGGCCATTCTAGTGATGGATTGGATACGCTTTGTGGCGCGATCTTTTTCATTTTTGCATTCTTTTCCATCAGCTTGAAAACAATGCAAGTCGCAATAGCTTCAGACCATCAGATGATATCAGTTCAAACGAGATACCTGTGGTCATGGTTTTGGGGGTTCTCTCTCATAGCCTTAATACTGTCCTCGCTTATAACTCTCGTTTTTATGTTTCTATGGTGATGGATATTTGCTAAGGAGTGGAGTTGTCGGTTCCGTGAAAGAGTACAATTGACACCCCAGATGGCGTAGTGAATCTTCTTGAGTGTGAATGGAACTGTGTCATAGTCTGGTCCACCGTTTTTAATGAAAAATTGACAGTTGGCCCCCAGACCCAAAGCTGACTGAGTCAAATAATGTTATGTTTTTCTTTCGAATCACTTTAGCGCAATTTAAAGATACATACAGACGACCGATTGGGATATCAGGTTTATTAAAAACTCTTCTGCTTTGGAATCCAACTTGTTTGACTCGTCTAAGTTTAGTGTGAGCTGTTATACTGTTACTGATGTGAAACATTTTTATTGTCGGCTAATTGTTTCTCACACCTGCTTCAGTCGCCGCATATCGCGTCACCTCACCCCTCCAGCTTGAGCTGTCCTTAGGATTGCAATTTTTGCGCCAGGCTTTGGTCTATTCAAAGGTTTAGTTTTACAAATTCTTGTAATGTTTCAAATTGTGACTGTGGAATAACACTCTATTCGGGCTTATGAAATTATTGAGAGATATTGCGAATTCCTTGGGTTTCCCGCTGATTGCTTTTCTAACATGATTTTCGGAGTTGCAACGGAGCGCTCAGCTTTACCATTTCACACTTTATTTTCAGGGGCCAATAGTTTAATTCGTTCTTTTCTTCGCGACTGAATCGCATTCCATTTTCTATCTAATCTAACAACTTTCTTTTTCGTTACAGTATTTCAAGCCCATTTATACTATCAAATCGACAATCGCACAAGAGTGAAATACAAGATCCTTTTCAGCCCCTATAAATATACAACAGGTGCTAATAATCTTTCCTTCCCTTGTAACCACGATTGTTGTTCGATAGAAAGCTTTATCCGGAGTTTCATGTTGTTTGTTGCCTATCACTTCTTCGATCAATACCCAAGCATCGAACTAAGCTGTGAATGATATGGAGGTAAGCTTTAGGGAGCCAAGTCCATTTGGTTTCGAATTTCACCACGTGACGCTTAAAGTTGTATCGACCCATGCACGAGCTATCATCAACCTGCGCCTCATTAGGCAAGGCGAGCAGTCTGATGATTTAGAAGTATACTCTTAAGTATCTCATCGCCAGACTTCAGCGAAGTTTAAAGTTTGATCCAGAAAGCGTGTTGAGAGAGAGGTCATGTCGAGTATTTGATATGTATCTGATACGTGTATAGTAGACTTTGCATCGGTAACCACCCGCTCCCTCAAACCGTATATATATGATCTTTTAAGGTGTGGTATGGCTTAGAAAATGGTATAATCTTTCCTTCGAAGGAATGCACCGAACAGAGACGATAAATGCCTGCGTTTAATACTTTTCAGGTAACGTAGTCCTAATGGCTGAGCTCATCTATCATCTAAAGATAAGTCTCGCCATCAAAGCGTCGTGGATTGCCATGTGTTGTGGAGTTGAAGAATTTCAACAGGCAAGATGTAATGAAGCACGATGTGCCTAAGAGAGCCCATAATAGTGCCCGAATTTCATGATTTTGTCTCGGCGAGTGGCTTCGGGCTAGATGTTTGAAATTGTCGCAACCCAATTCCTAAAGGTTTGGCGGCAAAAGTTGACTCGCTTTGTACGAAGTCGTACGCCTTTATTGCGCGGCGATACCACCCCTCTACGACTTCCGGGTCATCGAATGTGTCAACTGCGTGTGTTGCCATGCTTCCGTGGTATAATGAACAGATGACTTTGTCGAGTGTCAGAAGTGTTGTATTGGCCACGCAGTCTACAACACCTGCAATCGGGTCCGAATACTGAACTGTAGCTCCAGCCTTATCCCATGGATTGGGAAAAATGTGAGGCTCTACTCCGCAACTTAGCCATGCCTTCATCTTAGAACAAATTTCGAGAATGTTATCCATGAAAATAGGATAAGAGCCTGCCAACAGTCCACCGGAATTTTGAAGAAACGACGAGGCTTCCATAAGAATGCTGGGTATTTCGAATAGCTGATGGCAAAGCTCGATCCGCAATTCCAGAGATTTGAGCTCCTTCGTAGTGATTGTGTTGCTAGGCCATGCAGATGTAGTTGCAAGGAGGGCCCGCCATTCTGGTTGGCGAAGATAGCAGTCTTCCTTGAATCTGGCAGATTGAATGACCTGTGAGTGAAATCTGTTGTCAACGACGCTCTCCACTTTTCTATCGATCAAGTATAATCATGGCGTACAATGTAACTCAGCTGAGATTCAAGCATTCCAAGATCAAATGGATCTTTGTATCGACCCACCCCCCGTGCTTGAATGAGCTGAGAAGTTCCACGAGCGAGATCAATCCATTTGGCTTTATCGACATTCACAACAAGCTGTTTGCGCATTAGTCACTCATATCAAATATATGGGCAAAATATACTCACTTCGCACATCTGCAATAAAAGAGAAGCACACAATGTTTCCGATTGGAAACGGAGACGTTCTTCGACTAAACACTTTTGCAATGAAGATAATGCTCGAACATAATTTCTGTAGATGGCTTTCGATTTGGTATATTCTTTCGAAGACCTATCGCAATACAAACTGCAAACACAAGTTATGGCGTCATCGAGAGCGATGTTGTAGCCCAAACGACCAGGTATGTATTGAAAAAATGATCCAATCAGCCAAAGAGGTACTAGATCCCCTTTCACTTTGCATCCCAGACAGTACATCAATTTAGTAGCCAGAGGATTATTGTCATGAAATCGGGGAATTTCTGGAGAGACTACTTCAAAGTTCTCCAAAAGAAATAAGTCCGAACCAGATTCTATGGACCCAAAGATGATCTTCTCTGGTCTCATAACATCTGGGCTTGTAGTATTGGATTCGAAGATGTATCTCCTCCGAGAGTACAGTTTCTTTAGTCTAGGCGTTTCGTTCACGAACTTCCAACGGGGTGGGTACCCCGGACAGTCCCAACCACTGCGAATGCATTCTGCGCAAGATGGGCGCTGCTCTCCACACTTTGTATCTCACGTGTTAGTTCAATTACAACTTAAAGTAACACAACTCAGATAGGAATACGTATCAACCTTCTTCTTCCTTATCCGACAGTTATCACACCTGTTACTTGTTGGTACACCGACCATGATAGTTTGCTGCGTATTTGTCGAAGTGATTTTGACACCAGTTTGTTTTCGCAATTAGGCAAAGAATGATTCAAGACTTCATCATTTCTCAAGTTCTGCGAACATCGACTTCATGGAGCCTTGGAGTCAACATAAATCCGCGGAGAGTCCGATATAAGTGGCTTCATACTGTGGCGCGAAACACCTTAAATTGATTATGTAGCCTTACCTAATCAGGTTAGCGTAGTTTCAGCCTCAGTTTCTCACAGCACCTGGTCATATCTTGCGCGTCAGCAAATCAGGGGTCTTATCTGTGGGTCGGAGATTTTTATCGCAAGGTACACGCCTACCCGTCGCCAAGAAATCCAATCCGCAAGATGGCTATCTTCTGTCAGTATCGCAAGATGAAGCCTCTTCAGGAGAAAAATTATCCTGACCTTCGAGACACGGAGTTAATAATGCAATTTGCGTGTTCGCTGCTCCTCCTATTTCGGGTTGGAATTTTGAAGAAGAACCACATGGCTGTCGGTGGAGGAAGTATTGATATATAAGGAGTTGAATTTACCTCTCACGGATATCTTACAAATATTCATCATCATCAAATCTCAAATTGCATCTTTCAAAACTTTTAAAGAATCTCACAAAGCTTTCTCAACCATCCAAGAAAGTAAGAAATCATCATGCCAGCTCCCAGAATTGCCATAGCCGGTGCCGGACCTGGTGGTCTAACTTTAGCTCGTCTGCTCCAACACAACGGAATCAAGTGCACAATCTTCGAGCTAGACGCCAACCGAGATGCTCGCTCACAAGGTGGCATTATCGACCTCCACGCTGATATGGGTCAACGCGCTCTTCGCGAAGCCGGTCTCATGGAAGAATTTCAAAAACACTCTTTGCCAGATGCAGACTCCATGAAGCTGGTAAAGGCTGATGGTACTATCGCTTGGGACGAAAATAATAACGATGACGAGAGTGATTCTATCCGTCAAGCTAGAGATCGCCCAGAGATTGATCGTGCCAGACTTCGTGACATTCTTTTGGACTCCGTTGAGCCAGACTCCATTCGCTGGAACAGTAAGATTGTTAGTGTCAAGCCAAGCGAGAGCACTCCAGCCCAATTTGATCTTCACTTTGCAGACCACGTTGAAGAAGGATTTGATCTTGTTATTGGGGCTGATGGCGCCTGGTCAAAGGTTCGACCTCTTGTCTCGGCGCAGTTGCCCGAATACTCTGGGATTAGCATGGTGGAATTGACCGCTCGCAACGTTTCAGAAAACAAGCAATGGCTATCTGATTATGTTGGTAAAGGTAGCTTCTTCATGTTTGATGAAGGCCGCGGTATCATCTGCCAACGGAATGGCTATGATGGCATTCGAGTCTACGCCGGGGTACGCAAGCCCGAGAATTGGATCAAGGATTGTGGTATCGACTGGGAGAATCCCACCGAAGCCCGCAAACAACTGACGGAACAGTACTTTGGAGATGTACATGGTGACTTGAAGAGACTTCTGTCCGAAGCAACTGATAGTCTTATCGTTCGATCATTGTATATGCTTCCGGTTGGTTTCAAATGGCAAAGTCGTTCTGGTGTCACACTTCTCGGAGATGCAGCTCATTTGATGACACCTTTTGCGGGAGTTGGCGTCAATGTTGCTTTGAATGATGCCATACTGCTTACGCATGCTCTTCTAAAGCAGAAAGATAATTTTGAGGTTGATTTAAAGGGTAGCTTGAAGCAGGCTATTGAGGAATATGAGGAGCAAATGTTCGAAATTGCTAAAAAGAACATGGAGAAGACGTATCAAGGTTTGATACACCATTTCAGTGCGGGCGGCATTGACCATAGGGTGGAACATCTACAGAAGATGGCAAAACGTATTGAAGAAGCAAAGAAGAATGGAGGCATAGTTTGATATCGCTGCTTGTAGCAGCAATTCAATGATCGGAATTGAGCTAGGAGTCGAAAGTTTATGGATTGAAGGAATGGTGTCATGGTAGACTTGTTATTTGGGTTTAATTTGAACCTTTATATAGAATGGATTTTTCAACACAAGACTTTTATCAATGAATTCAAGCCGAACAATGTCGTGGTGCAATGCAACTGGCCGAAGTCAATGTTGAGCCTCGTGTAGACTATCAGATAAATGCTAACCTTACATTGGATGATTGACCATGGTGATACTACTGAATTCGATCTGGATACTAAGAGACTGTAAGCTGAATATTGAAAATGATAGACAGACTCAACGTTAATAACGTAGTAAAGGTCCAGGGTCTTTACAAAGTACATCAGATACACATGGTTTCAACAATCAAGTTATGTTGGAAATTGAGCAGTCTCAGCTAAAGTAACAAAGTGATAGAAGATAAATTTACAATTAAATTGGCCACCAAGCAACTGTACCTGAACAGCTCTCGAATATGTCTACGATCCAAGCCATCACATTCTGGACTGTTACATTCAAACATCTGGGTAGAAAACATCTGGGTAGGTCAGATTGCATGTACTCATCCAGCAGTGGCCTTCGGAGACCTTATCGGAGGTAGCCAATTCAAAATACTGACGTCGCGATCCTACGGAGTAGTGGTCCCAGATCCCGTATTACTAATCACTTTGCAACATCACGTGCTCATATACAGTAACCCCGCTTGATAGGATCCATGGATAGCTTTGTTCTCGACTCCTCTTACAAAACAAGCAACATGACAAGAATTACGGCTTATGGAATGTCATCAAGAATGACGACTTACGCTTACTGCTCCTCATGTGTTGAGCTTACTTTTCGTCCTATTCCACCTTGATTAACTTTGACAACTTCATTAGAACGAAAGCTATATAGCCACAACAGTTACAAGACATTTCGAATAAATCGCAATGGCGTTCCAGATAGCCACAGAATGGCATGCTGGAGAGGAGGAAATGCACAAACGTCTACGAGTACCTCAGAACGAAAATCCAACCTCACCATACCTTTCACCATTCGCTGCGAACCTATTGTCCCGATCACCATTACTCGCCCTCGGCACACTCGATTCTTCCAGCAGACCATGGACTACATTATGGGGCGGAGAGGCCGGTTTTGCCTGGCCGGTCGCGCAGTCTGTCATTGCTGTAAAAGCTACAATTGACCTCCAATTTGATCCAGTTTCCGAAATTTTGCTGGGAAAGAATGCAGATGGACAAGTCAAACGAGAAGAATCGCCGGGGAGAATGGTCGGTGGTCTTGCGATCGATCTCGAATCCAGGAGACGAGTCAAACTATATGGTCGGATGGCTGCAGGCGCATTGAAAGAGACTACTGGAAATTCACTGGCGGAAGCCTCGTTAGTCGTCAAAATAGAGCAAAGTCTAGGTGAGCTTCTCATTGACCTAGCAGTTATTGTTACATACTAACGCAGTTGCAGGTAATTGTCCCAAGTACCTGAACAAAAAGCACATCACTCCTCGATTGCCGAAGCCTACACTGGTTTCCACGACATTACCTCTTCCTATAGAAGCAGTGAATTTGATAACACGATCTGACCTGTTCTTCATCTCGTCCTCGAATCATGATTCTGATATGGATACGAATCACAGAGGTGGACCACCGGGCTTTGTCAGAATCCTGGCTAACGATACTAACGGACTAATAATTGTTTATCCAGAGTATTCTGGTAATCGTCTTTATCAAACGCTCGGAAATCTCACGACTACACCTCAGGCAGGACTAGTGTTCCCAGATTTCAATACTGGCGATGTCGTGTATCTGACTGGGAGAACCGAAATACTTGCTGGGGAGAAGGCAACTAACTTAATTGCACATACCAATCTTGCAGTTAAAATATACGTGGAAGATATTCGATATGTTACTGATGGATTGAGTTTTCGAGGCGAAGAGGGTGAACGTTCACCCTATAACCCATCCGTCCGGTTTCTAGCTTCCGAAGCCGCTGTCGGGATCAAAGATGCGGGCAGTAAGATGCATGCTAAACTCATTGAGCGAAAAATCTTGTCACCAACTGTAGCAAGGTTTCGATTCAAAATTTCGAGTGAAGATAAAATCAACCAATGGAAACCTGGCCAATATGTCGCCTTGGATTTCAAAGATGAACTTGATATTGGCTATAGCCACATGCGTGATGATGATCCAAAAAGTTTGAACGACGATTACATACGAACTTTTACAGTTTCTTCGTCAAAAGATCCCACAAATACATACGATACATTCGAGATTACAATTCGCAAGGTTGGGATTGTCACTGATTTCCTCTTTCGCCATAACATTAAATCAGAACTGGAAGTACCCCTCAATGGGTTTGGGGGAGAATTCTTCATCGACCAAGGCTCTGAAGGAAAAGTTTCTTTTGTTGCTGGCGGTGTTGGGATTACGCCACTCATTGCTCAAGTTCCCGAATTGGATTTATCACGATTGCGACTTTATTGGACTGTTCGTTTAGTTGACCTGGGACTGGTTTTGGATACCTTCGAAAGGTATCCCAATCTTAGTTCTCATGCAACATTGTTTATTACGGGTGAAATGGGAGGCTGTGATGGTATGAATGAATCAACCGCCGTCAGAAAATTACGGGAATCTGGCGCTATGTTAAAAGAAAGAAGAATCGAAAAGGGTGATGTTTCCGAAGATGCTGCTAATCGATGGTACCTATGTACAGGGACTACCCTGCGTAACACCTTGATTGAGTGGCTTCAGGGCAAAAACCTCAACTACGAAGACTTTAATTACTAAGAGTGTGATATTAGTCTATTCGATCAAACAATTGTTTGCAAATGAATATGCCTTTCTTTGTGTTCCTCTTGGTTCTTTGTCTGTGTGATGACCTGTTACTAAAACGTACCAGTTAAATTCATAAGTCTGCATAGCTCGCTACATTCCTTTGTATTTTGGAGTAGCTTTATTTAACCGGTCAAGAAGCTCAAACATTCAACTTCAAATAAATTTCATTACTATTTCAAGACCCGAACTAACACAATGGCAGCCAACAACGTCCATTCTACTCCCATTCAACCCAAATACGTCCTCCGCAATCCTTTGGAAGTTGGCCACAATGCCAAGAGCATTCAACTAATCAGGATTAAAGACAACGAGTCCTTTCTCGGCTTTCCTATCCCCGACAAGAAGGTCTCATCCGAAAAAAATCCAGAATGGAAAATAAGTCTTGCCTCCGCCATCCTCCCTACAGCCGGTGTCCCGCTGTCCCGTATTCTGAACCACCCGAACATTGTTGGCCTCGTTGATATAATTCACACAGACTCCCTTGCAGGTTCCACAAAACGTGCTGGTATAGCTGCCAACATAGCGGTCTACGAAGACATGAATCAAGGCTCACTTGACCTCATTCTTCCAGACCCAGAAAACTACCCCAAGTTTACTGATATGGCAGCTTGGCGCGCCCATGCTACTCCAAATCCCAATCGCTTTTCCTTGCCTGAAAGTTTGTGCTGGCATGTTTTATCCAATATTAACAAGGCGCTCTTGTGGTTGCATACGGGTGTGAAGCAGACGGATACAAAAGACAATTGGCAAAAACATGATGATGATTGGCAACCTATTTTGATAAGGGATGTTAGTCCAAAACAGATTTGGTTTAAGAGAACAGGTGGTGGAGCAACGTATGGGCAGTGTAAATTGGGCGGGTTTGGGAAGGCGGTTGTGACGGGGTTTCCTGGTGGGAATGTGGCAAAGAGTGAGAAGAAAGAGGGATTGAGTTGGTTTTTTCAACCTCCTGTAGGTCTTGACTTTGAAGATTTGATAAAAATATCTTTGCTAATAACGATACAGGAACAATTAGCCGGGACCGAAACCTGGGGGCCAGCCTCGGAGATTTGGTCGCTAGGCGCGACAGTCTTCACGATGATGACGGGGATTCCCCCACCCCAACAATTCGAATATCAATGGGCAATGTCAAGGATGAGCGATAAACCATTTACGAGTGGACTGAAAAACTTGGTGGCGAGCATGCTGAAGACGAGAAGTAACGATAGACCTACGACGGCTCAGTTGGTGGGGAGAATTGAACAGGGTTGGGAGGAATGGAGGGCGACGGATGATGCGATTGGGTATGTGGATTGGAAGGATAGGAGTAGAGGCCGGGAAGTCAATTTGAAGGGGGAAGTGGAGGAGAAGGCGAGGTTGGGATGGGGGATTATTGATGCTGGAGGGATTTAGGTGATGCTTTCTTTATAGGGTTAATAATTAGGGGGAGGAGTTTTGGGCTTGTATTTTGACTTCGGATCATTGGTTGACTGTTAAATCATTTTTGCTGCGTACTATTCTGGCAGTTGTTTTATAATCTATGTATGTTCACTTCGAAGATATTCACATACTCTCCTCCTTGTTCTATTTGAGAGTTGTGTGGAACTTCATAACTATATTAGGAACTGTAAACTGCACTTACGTTCACATTACGTCTACATCCAAAATGACCCCCTAACGAGATGACTATTTTGTGACTTCCAAGCCCTTATTCCGCGTTCAAGTTATTCATCAAACTTGCAAAGCGAACTTGCACACCTTTCATTCCCTCGAATCCACGCTTTTCTTCGCCCTTCTACCACAATAACATCTAGGCCCTTTCTTTTATCAAATCATACATGCGGGGAGGCGATTACCTATTTCACACCTTTTTTGGGGGTGTAGATACACCGACATTCGTTTCCATAGCACTGTCCTCTCTCAACTTGCAACCTAGACCTGCTGTTGCTCGTCTGATAGAACTGAAAGTTGGAGCTTGATTCGCTAATCAGCCAATAAAAGGCACTATGGGGAAGAATAAAGATCGCTTCCGGTCTTGAAATCACTGAAGTTCGGGTGAATGTGGAAGGGTCAAAATTTTGAAGCTGATTGAAAAGTTTAGATATATTCACTACAGGCAATACCGCAGGCGCAGTTGGTCGCTTAGTGTGCTTGCTGGTGACTTTTCTCGCGCACAATTTTGTAAATTTTCCTTTCCTACTATCAATTCTCAACCACAAATCTTCTCTTTCGCATTTTGTTGCTGACTTCCAGACAGCCAATATGGACTACAGAATTGCTGGTAATAATTGCTTTGCAGATATCGATGATGAGACAGCGAAGTTGATCATTCAGCTTCAGCTCGATGATATTGAGTACTCATCTTCCAAGGGAAAAGGTCGCGCCGACAATGTATCCGACATCTCAATTGCATTAAAAATGCAGAAAGAGGAATTGGAACACGTTGCTTTATTTTTGTCAGATCAGCGGATGACGAGAAGTATTGCATTGGCCGTTCAAACTGATGGAGTTGTTTTGACTGAAGTGGTATCACGCGATGACGTTTCTGCAAGAGATCATTCAATGGCTTTACAGTTATATCGAGGTCCTTCAACACCGACTACTACACCACAGGTTCCTCCGCCTGCTGCGCCGAATACACAGATCTTGAACGAGGAGGTCTTGAGAAAACTACAAATACTATATGTCTCTGGCGACGACTCGAAGGACAATGATGCAGCAGAGTTTGATGTAACCAATTGCAGTTCGATAATTGGCTCAAATGCAGAGTCTTCTACTTGGGCAGCCTCTCGATCTGTACCCTCTAACAGTACATGCGTCATCTGTCGCGATGAGATCAGCTTCTGCGATGCAGCACGAGTTCCCGGTTCATGCCACCACGAGTATTGTCGCACCTGCCTTGGGCAGCTCTTTCAGTTGTCGATGAGCGACGAATCACTCTTCCCACCCCGCTGCTGCAACGAACCAATCACTATCGCCAGTGTCCGTCTTTTCCTCACAAGTGATATTGTGCGTGCTTTTGAAGAGAAGAGAATCGAATTTGAAACACCAAACAGAACTTATTGCTGCTTACATTCTTGCTCAGCTTTCATCCACCCGTCCAAAATCGTCAATAACGTAGCTACCTGTGATGGCTGCGGCACACAAACTCACACCTTGTGTAAGCTGGAAGCTCACATTGGAGATTGCTCAAATGATACCGCGCTTCAGGGGGTTCTGGATCTTGCTAGAGACAGGGGCTGGCAAAGATGCTATTCATGCTGGGGTATGGTGGAGCTTGAAATTGGATGCAACCATATGAGGTAAGTCTACTATTACACCTACCTTTCAAGTCTTGAACACACACTGATACTTCAAATTTTAGATGTCGATGCGGGGCCACCTTTTGTTACGTCTGTGGGCTGAGATGGAAGTCTTGTAGATGTCCACAATGGCACGAGGACCAATTGGTAGCTCGTGCTACAGAGATTGTCAACCGCAGACCTGGCCATCAACTACTCGAGCGTCCCTATCAAGCCATTGGCAAAGAATCTACAATTGAAGCTCAGATTGCGGTAGCCGCGGAGAATCTTAGAGAGAATCATGCTTGTGGGCACAACGGATGGCGCATGCTACAAGGATCTCATCAGTGTGAAGGTTGCCATGATGTTATGAGAAGATACATTCTTGCATGTCCTCAATGTGAATTAAGAGTGTGCAACAGATGCAGACTAAATAGGTTGTAGTGGGAACGAATTTGTGGAAATGATTCAGTCGTGAGGGCACTCTGGAGCTTCATTCATAAGGCTACTATTACTGATACGTCAGTTTGTACATTCTATTAAGAAGCACTATTGTACATAACGTTTTAATACCTTTAAATAAGAATTAAGCCGTGATCCAACATGATTCCAGCGTCGCCTCGTTTACTCATTGGAAAGTCCCCAAACAAGAACTGCTTTCACAGCCTTTCCACTCAAAACATCTGCTTTCGCCTTCTCCATATCTTCTGCGTCATACCTCGTGATTAAGTCCGTGAACGGAAACATTCCATCCTTCCAGCCTTGAATAAGTTTTGGAAGGAATTCAGGTGGGTATGAATTTCCCATACAGCAGCCTACAAACTTTCGCCCAGTGTTGACCGCATTAAACATGTTTATCGACACGGCGGCATCAAGCTATATAGTCAATCAGACTTGTGGGCAAGGATTGGATGGGATTCAGCGACACATACCTCTCCAACGCCTACACTGCATACTGTTCCCAATTTCGCTGTTGCCTCCAATAAGTCGGCAACAGCTTCTGGTTTACCAGTGGTGTCGATCGAAGCATCAATCCCCTCGAAGTTTGTTATTCGCTTCAGTGTGCTTTGCAGCCCTTTTTCTTTAGTTGGTTTGATGACATGTGTTGCTCCATATTTCTTGGCCAGTTTTAACCTTTCGTCCAGCATATCAACTGCGATGATCTGTCTGGGCTTTCTTTCTAGAAGATTGAGCGCCATAATAGCTGCTAAGCCAACGGCGCCTGCTCCAACAACGCACACGATATCTTCCGAGGATGGTTTGAGAACGTTGAGCATTGCTACATTCTCTTTTTAGTACTATCTGTTCTGGGAGAAAGGTTGGCTCAATTAGAGAAACTTACCACCAGCACCTGCCATGATACCACAACCTAGTGGTGCGAGAGACGAAAGATCCAAATCACTTCCAGGCCCTCCAACTCTAACACAACATCTGGCATTCGCCACCGCAAAGTTAGAGAAGCCTGTTGAAGATTAACTTGGGTTGCTAGACTAAGGCAACTCAGATGATGACTTACAACTCTGGCCGAAAAAGTGACTTGTGATTTCCGTCCCGCCTCCTTCCTCTTCAGATGGGATTTCATAAGCTTTGCTCCCATCCTCGCCTCTACCTATTCCGAAATTATCCAGCTCCCAATCACCGCAAAAGCTCGTCTGCTTTCTCATGCAATACTTGCATTCTCCACAACTTGTGTAACTGAGAATGACATAATCTCCAACTTCTACATTGGTGACTTTTAATCCCACCTTGGAGATTATTCCAGCTCCTAGGATACACGTCAGTCTATCATGTGATACCAGACGTGTGTTTATGTATTACTGACCTTCATGCCCCAAAATAGCTGGAAACATCCCATCAATATCATGTTGACTAAAATTGATATCGGTATGACAAATTCCAGTTGCTACAATTTGGACCAGTACCTCGGTATCGCGAATGTCGTCGTTAACTTCCACATCGCGATAAACAAACTCACCGCCGGGACTATTGACGACAAGTGCTTTCGTTCTCATGGTAGCTTATGTCTGTACACAGCGGGGGGTAGTGGATTTGACAGAGGATTTGTGTATCAAGGGGCAGAAAAGAGCAGGATATCACTTATCAGTGCGTTTGGCGATTTTTTATGATGTTCTGTCCATCTTCTGCAGCTGGCCACAAAGGGTGTGGTGGAATGGTGGAATGGCCCACATTTGGTATTAACTTCATTAGGGGTCGTGGTACTCCACACGCCTGAAAAGCAGCGTGATACTCTGTGTTCCACTCTACTTGTCCCGCACCGGTTGCCGACGGCATTCATCTTTAGAGGGTCCACCCACAGACTATGATACCCTGAGAATCTACCACGAATTCTTCGATTCTCAGTAATCGAGTTCTTTATCTTCATCGAGAATTCCTCGAGCACCTGTACATTGTGTGTTCCTGTTTTATTTAATCCAGTCTCTTGCATCCAAATTTCACAGTTTTTCAACCCTAAGATTGAATCTATATCGGTCTTGATTAAACGGTATGTGTGCTCGAAACTATCCAAAATTAAGCTATCAGGAGTCAAACGTACATAATTTTTTACTTCAAAAGACCTTGCTAGTATTTTGCATTGGACCATCTCATGGAGAGAATTAGGCGCGGAGAGATAGACATTCTGCATGTCTTGAATTTTTATACAATTTCATATTCAGCAAGCAGTGTGTAAGATAGCAACCAGATTGGCTATTTGACTTACATCTATGGCTGAAGGATGGCACGTTAGAGATATAACCAGCTTTAAATTTCCTTAAGGACGCATAACGGTAAGGAAACACAAGCAGGATCATTGTTGAATGAAAGATTGGTTGGTTGGACAACTGATGTGGGAGCCGGTCTCATTACACAACCCACAAAATGTGTCATATAGCTGCCGGGAGAAATTGTATACTTCATATCCTCATTCTATATAAAAGAAGTATACCTCTAATTTCACCATATTCTCTTCGCCGCCATCTCATATCTACTAATTTTAGAAAAATCATGTACGGCTCCCACCTTCTCCTTATCTCTCGCCAGCCTTTCCTTTTCTCTCAACTTCTTCAATGTCTCCGGGTCATCATCATAAATCCATCGTTTCTTATCATCATCGACTTCTACCATACCCCAGCCACCTACTCTCTTTCCGCCAGTCTCGTAGCTTCGATGTTCACGCCTTTTCATGGTAGAATAACGATTACGTGCGAATTTTAGTAAGAGCATTCCAAGAACGAGTTTGCAGGCGAGGAGAACAAAGAATGCACCGAGAAAGAAGACAATCATGGTAAGAGATGCAATTACATCGTCAGTGCTAGGTAGGTACCATGGTGTAGTCGAGTCTGGGTTTGGTAACCCGAATGTTGATCGACCGAGCGCTTTGCGGACGATGGTATCGAAATGTTCGAGAGCTGCTGTCGTTGCTGGAGATGATTCAACTGATAAGGATGTCGCTGTTGATGGAAGTGGTGGAGGAAGATGAGTCGCGAGAAACATGTGATATGTTTGAAATGCAGCCCGGATAAAAAGACATGACAGCGGTATAACTGGAAGACCAAGACGTTTGATAAGGTTTTGGTTGACAAAGGCCTAGAACAGTTAGCCATAATAAAAAAATTGAGATTGAAGACCTACATTTGTATAATAATCCTTGGCCAGAACATCGAGGAATCGTTGATAGATTGCTGGTTTGACTCCATTGAACTTGCTGATATATGCATGCTTGATCCAATCTACCAACATCTCACTGCCTATCACTATGAAAAATGGTGAAAGAACTTCGCCTGACCATACTGGAAGAATAGTAAAGCTGTTTGGAAGCATTGAGCTTGTACGTAAAGGACTGGTTGCTTCTGATGCCGATGATGCCATGCTGCTGAAGCCACCCATTTCAACAATATTTCGCAATGCAATAATCATTAGCATAAGCCACAACTGGAATCTTTCCACAACATCGGCACATGTGAGCTGGAAGAGGTTGTCCTTCTCAAACTTCTTGAACACAGTCCCTTTGACTTCCACAAATTGATTCGATAATAATAGAGTGAAGAGAGCGTTGGAGTACGAATTTACAGCAACATTCAAGGTGACGACCTGGGTAAACAATGCTGCTGCATGAGCAACATTATATATGAGAGCAAGTATGAACATGCCAAGCGGTCGCAATACCTTACTCCTTCCATCACTATTTCTTTCTAGCGTTTCATCGGAAAATAAGCATTCAAAAATGTCTTGGCCTAGCGCTGCGGCAAGGCGATCAAAGACCTATTGAAAAATGAGCTACCAAGCTTTCCAGACTGGACGGACTGACCTACCTCTAAAAGATTATATATAACATACAGTCTAATTGCTGACTGCGCTCTAATACTATGATACATCCTGCTTGCGTCTAACTTCATTAAGAAGAATGAACTGAAAATTATTACAGCACCTTGCAAAAGATCTGCTTTGTTGTATGAAGATAATGAAGACGGTTGAGATTTCATGCGTCGATGTCTACGGGCCCAACCTGGTCTTGGTCTACGCTCACCGTTTAATCTTGGAGTAGTCTCAGTAGTACCAGTACGCCTGAAGGTTTCAGAGGGCCTTCCAGCTTGAGACTGAAATGAGGTTGTTGTTGACACCGAAGGTCTACTAGGACGTGACATACTCCTCGTGGGCGAAAGAGAATCGGCACTGCGACGTTCATTTCGTCGATGCCACATCCGGCTGGTACCATGATAAATAAAACCACTAATGAAGCGACATTCCTTGGCTAGGACATGACCCCACCATGAAATAAGAATGCCTAAAGCTTTGAAAAATCGCAAAGGTAAAATGGTAAAGGTATAGAGCCAGGCGTCAAGACATGCGAAAGATCCAAAGAATAGGACCTGCTCAAGTTGTGGCGGTAATAACAAAAAATTCAATAAACGCTCAAATTTAACTTTTGACGATTCATAAGGAAATTCTGTCGAAGCTGAACGATATATATACAAAGGCGATGGCCTTGTAGCGGAAAGCTCGAGCTGTAGATAAGTAGGAATTGACATCGGAGGCAGAGGAATCGATTGGGGTATTGGCGATGGTGGTGGAATGTCTGGCAATTGTGAGGATTTGCTCGCTCCATTAGTCACAATGGACCCTTCGAGGTTGAGGTTTAATGATTCAGGGCCGCGGCCAATATAAAATGGTTTTTTCTTTGGTGATGTCGGAACGGCATTTGGCTTGGAGTATGATGGCCATTGAGTTGGTGGCGGCTGAGCACTAAAGGCCCGGGAAGAGGGTAAAATCGTGGGCCTTCTGTTACTAGCATTGGCCTGGATTACCTCTGGATAGCCTCGCTTCTCACCATTAATGTCTGCAGAGAATTTTACAGATTCCGGTGTAACAATATTACGACGATCTGTCGATTCAGACGGTCGGTCGTCAAGCTCCATGCGAGATACGTCAGAACCGGATCTTTTAGGCCCCTGTTCTTCGGCATTGCCTTGGCTTGTATCGGGAGTCAATAACTTGCTGGGCGAAACCATTGGTAATGATTCAGGAGCCGATGCTAATTCCGTCATCTCAGCAGCTGATAGTTTAAGAACCTTTTCTTCCCCAGAACCCTTCAAGGACAATTTCCGGTGATTCTCAACTTTTTCCTCTGCGATGTCATCCAATTGATCAGAAGGCGGTGGAAACTTCGATATGGGAGGCGGTGAAGTCAATTCACCTGTTCCATTGTGCTCGGCAAAAGAGGGAAAGTTCCCCAAATTATGGAAAGCTCCAGAACTGTTATTGCCAGTTTGCACAAGTGGGGTTTCATCTGCATTCCCAGGCCGCGACTCATTCACAGGCACCTGAGATGGTGATGAACACAGTGGAGGCGGACTTGGTGAAGGCGTTCGTAGTTGTTTCGAATCCTTGATCGCCGGTACAGATTTGGGGAGCTCGTCTGCGGATTGGGCGGTAAGCTGCTTGAGATTATCTTGTTCAGGTGATCTGATAAGTTGCTCCTCGTTTCCCGCCGTCCGAGATCCCGCCCCTTGAGAATTTGTTACATTCTCTACCGCCATCGAGTTTTATCGAGGTAATTAGGAGAGATCATTAGTAACGAGGCTCCGGTAATTTCGTTCACACGTATCAAAATTGGGTGGTGATGTGGAGTGATTTGAGATAAAGGTGTTCGCTAATCAAAGGCTACGGTAACCAATCATATCGTATCCCGTGCGAGTATCGATCGATAGTCATATCTCGTTCTTACGAGATGTCTTTCCGAATCTCTTCAATGTAAGGAACCATATATTTGAGTTCTGAGTTATTTTGCAACGAATTATCTCTAGCCACATGAGCTGTTTTGAAGAAAGGGTATACTCATCACGTGCCTGTAGCGCTATACTTGTTTAGTACTAGCGGGAGCTCTTGTCCCTTAATATCAAGGCATACAAGCTTCGTTTGACGAAAACGGAACACTTTGATTCCTTGTTCCTTATTTCCTATTCATTGTATTCTATTATCTAGTAAAATTGCAGCTCATTCTGTACACTATGTATTCTTTTACGAAATACACTTCTGTCCCTAAATCCTTCTCAGATTATGTTCATAATCTAGACGACGAACGATATCAGATTTTACCGATTTATATAAATCTGTTCTCCTCAAGTTGTAGCTGATCTATCGATTTGATATAACTATGAGCGGCTTAGATCTCTATGAGGTGCCCGATTCTGAGCCTATTGAGGCTAGTGGGAATAAATTGGGAATCCGAAATATTTTGTTTTGGAGTACAGTAATAGTAGTAGTCTACGCGGCCTGGACCATTGCTTCCCCGTTCTGGGATCAGATTTCCAATCGTCTATCCTCAAGGGTTACCGAAATTCGCAGAAATTCGGCAAATATAATTCTTAGAACCACAGACGTTTTTACAGGTAATTCTGAAATGTAGGCACCCTTATCATACACAGCAGGCCTCATTCCACCAATAACATCAGCTGACCTTTTCTATAGCGTGAGACCAAGATCTGAAGATGCTGTACTGAAAGGGGATGTCGTGTACATTGCAGAGCCCACCTCCGAGAACCTCAAGAAACGTCAGGGCCTCATTTATTTTTCTGGTAGCTCAGGTATAGCCCCGAGCAATCGCGCTCTGTGAGTTCCCGTGTACACGTAATTTGACAACGAGACCAAATTCTAACAATAAACAAAGTGCAGATGAATTTGCCAAGGTACACTTCAATGCTCTGGCTTGATTAAATAATCTAACAAGTTTTAGGCCGGTTATATCACTATAATTATTAACTATTGGGGCAAGCATCAAAAGATAGATCAAAAGATAGAAGGTTCTGAGTAGAAATACTTCTTCGTGTCTGGCAAGAGCTGATTATATTAGTAGACTCCGGCCCATGGGAGACCAGAGATCCTAGTAGCGAGCCAAGTGAGAGAAAACGAGCCTCCATGATCAAGAACGCCTTGGACTACCTTCGAAATAATCGAAACTGTACCCAAGTCGGTGGAGTGGGATACAGCGGTGGTGCCCTTCCACGTCAGTTCAGTTCCTCAGTGAGACCTATTGGAATTCCAAGGCACATGCTAACTTCTCTAGTCATGAACTTGATCCAAGAGCGTCCTTGTCGTATCGAAGCCGCGTTCATGGCTCATCCTGGGCGTTTGAAAACATCAGCATATGGAACAAGTGAGAATGAGTGTTTCATATGTTCCTGCAGCTTTCAGCTCTCTTTTATCTATTCAGTATCTAATATCTTTGAATGACTCTAGTCCAAGTACCACTATCTCTCGCTCAGGCATGGGACGATCGATCGGTTGACGTACGAACTCGCCACGAACAAGAGAAGGAACTTATCGACATGGTTATAACAACCAGCGCAGAGAAAGATGCCATCAAGTCGGGCAAGTTGCCACCAAGAGTCCCCTGGCAAATGAACCTGTTCTCGGGTGTTGAATATGCGTTCGCTGTTAGACTGCCAAGCAAAGGTTCACTGAGTAGAGACGAAGTCTACGCAAAGCGGGCTGCATTTTCTCAAGCAGTCATGTGGTTCAGAACCTACATGCCAATCGGCGAAAAGAAGTTGCAGTACGACGTCTGATAACTGGAGAATGAGATACATGAGCACTCATCAATCTCCTTCAAAGTCTCACGATGATTTTTTTTGTGCTTAAGATTCAATTTTGTAAAGATAAATAAGTTCAAGAGATCTATGTTAGAAATTAAATTCAAATGCCCCGATCAACAATGCTGCAAAATGTCGCAAAATGTCGCAAAATATCCCTTAATACTTTTTAAAATCCAGCATCAAACCATCATTCTGAATCATCAATCACAATTGCGTCATCCCTGCTTCCTCCAGTGTGGATTCTTTCCTCCCTCTGCATTTTAGTGTTGACCAAAGATTCTTCTTCCGAGTCCATATCCTCAATCATATCTTCATCGTCCGCGGATGCTACATCTTGGTCTTTCATATCTCGATCAACATCCACGTCACTTCCTGACACCTCCTCATCTGTATCTAAATTCTGTTGGCTATCGTCATCGAATCCAAGAATTTCTTGATCTTCCTGATCTTCCGAGTCTTCGTCAACTTCCACTTCACTCTCGTTTGAAATTTCTTCATCTGTATCCAGATTCTGCGCGTCCTCGTTCTTGGAGTCAGGATCATCATCACCCTTACTTGAAATTTCCTCATCTGTGTTCCAATTCTCCTCATCCTCGTCCTCGTCCTCGGATTCAAGATCCTTTTGATCTTCTTGGTCTTTCATATCTGCGTCAATATCTATGTCACTATCGTCTGACACTTCCTTGTCTATGTCTGAATTTTTCTCGTTCTCGTCTTCGCTTCCAGCGTCTGTTAGATCGTCCGTGCTTCGGTTGAATTCTTTTTTGAGTTGTTCGATTACAAGATCGTCGATCTCTTCATCAGAATCCGTTTCACTCCGAGCCATTATCTCCTCAACCATGTCCAAATATTGGTCGACTTGGTCATCAATTGCATTATATTCTTGATCCACGATATCTTCGTCATCTTCGCTTTCTCTGCTGGTATTCCATCCTTGTAAAACTTTCCGCAGTTCGTTTCCGAGTGCTCGTGCAAATGGAGGTGGCACAGCATTACCGATTTGTTTGAGAGCATCGGACACTTTTGTGGTTTCTAAATCCCATATGAAGCTATCTGGGAAGCCCATAGCTCTAGCTAATTCCCTTAGTGTGTATGGCCTATGTAACTTCGGATTGAGCATCTGGTATAATTCTCGTCAGCATTGCAAACTATCGTCAGCTCTTGGGAAAAACTGCGGAGAACGTACCCAACTGTTCGTCGAATATTGATCCATCGCCGTAGTCATTATCTTGAAGATCTCATCAAGAGACGGTCTTCCAAATCTTCCCTCCAACTTTCGATTCCGGTAATCAACATTTCTCCGACATCTCTCTGATTCTTTCCTCAGCTTGTTGGGCAACAATGCCTCATTCATTCTCCTGTAATCGGCACCAGCTTCGAGTGGAATGCTGCACACTCGCTCGGCCTGTTTCACCGAGATCCTGCCCGTTACATGATTATGCAGAAGCTGGTCGGGAACAGATTTGCGCGCTTGCCTCTGAAACTCACATAAATATGGGGAGGCATAGTCTTGCTTTTCTGAACCGACAAGTTTTTGATTATTCAAGATCGAGTATTGAGCAATAGTCTTACCACGGTTTATTTGGCTAGACTTTTGCTCTGGCGTTTGCTGGATTTCTTTGTGAGGATTTTCAAACTCCCATAGAGGTAAGTCTAATATACAATGCTGTATAGTAAGTGGTCGATGCGGGGCTGATCTCCTGATATAAGGGGCATCTTTGGGAATACGATTAAAAACATGTGTCGGCTCAGGAAACTTCGGGAGCTTGTACCCTGGTTGAGAGGCCCAGAATATTACACGATTTCTAGACGAAGGTACACCATAGGTACCTGCTTGCAGAGTTGAGTATTGACATTGATATCCTAAGGATGTAAAAAGTCGGAAGATAAATCTTTAGTTTTTGTTAGTTGCATCCAACCTTGAAGATTTCTTGGAGTATATGCTCACTTTGTTGCACCGCCTGTCAAAGGGCTCTCGTCAGAGGGATAATTCGGAATATCACTACCGTTGAGCTATCATGATTTTAGCAATATTCAAAATGACGATATATTCTGAGACACCTACCGGGTGGTATTTTAGGCCAGTGACATTTTCCAATAAGCAATATTTGGGTCTGTAAAACTCCACGTAAGAGAGGAATGTGGCAATTGACTCTCTCATAGGACAGATAGGGTTCTTCAGTAGCTTTTTAGGGTTATTCTGACGGTTTGCTCTACTCCATCCTTGGCAAGGTGGCCCTCCTATAATCATATCGATATCGCCTCTTGAAGGCATCTCAGTTCCATTTATCTCACGCGAGATATCTTCAACGAGTCCCGCGTCAATCTGCATCGCTTTTTCTAAAAACTCGCCTGCATCGCAATTGTATACGTTTGCGCCTGGGGAGTTTTTCGCAAAAGTTCTACATGCCGCGGTATCAGACTCAATGGCATAGCTAGTCCCCACTACTCCGCTTTCGTGCAAGCCTTTACTAAGTCCACCTGCGCCGCTGTAGATATCCTTGCCATTTGATCAGTATTCATATTGAAAAAGTCTGGAAAGGAATAATATGAACCCACCAGAGTATTCAACTTTGGACCATCCATCTTAGTCATTTCTTGCTTTCTTTTTCTCTCGAGCCTCTGTTCATTTCCTTTTGAAAACGTCAAATGTTCTTTAGGCATAAGCTCTAAGTCTTCGACTGTAATTGAATCTTTTTCCAAGTCGTGAGGAATATATTCCTGAACCCAGAATGTGTCATCGAGGTCCTTATAAATGTCTAGATCTTCGATTTGCTCTATGTGCCTCACAAAGCAGTGGCCGTCAAGATCCTTTGGATTTAACAATTTAGAGTTCCACCGGAATACTCTTCTATTGTCATGGGTTGCAAACGGGATGTTCATTTCGATTTCCTCCGATCTCTTAAGCCGAAAGTGGTCGTCGTAACGTTCGTAATTATCCACGGTTAACTTGACACTGGGCTGACCTTTCAAGCAGGTGACCCGAATGTTCTGTATTTGACCAATATTGTAAGGGTGCAATCCCTTTGAATTTGAAGTAGGTTTTGAAATAAAATAAACGAAGTCTTTGAGTTGATATTTCGTACCCTTGTAAATGAACCCAGTAGCAGATTTTTGTTTCTTGTTCAAGTTCAATACCCTTAGCAGTTGATGATTCTCCTCATATTTGATTCTTTTGAGGGCGCAGCACTCGCATTCCTCGAAAAGAGATCCTTCCCCTTGTGTCGCTATTGCCTTGGCTTCAGAAAATCTTTGGAGCGAATCATCGCAGTGCAGTCGATAAAAGTATCTGTCTGGGCTTCTGTGATACTCTTCTTCGACCAGATCGATTGCTGGGTCATTGATGTCATTGGGCTTTCCACGGAAGTCGACTCTGATTTTGGCTCTTATCTCGGCCTTCGAGATATTCGCACATCTGGAAGACACGAAAAGCACCCTTGGACTGGCCATTTCTCCAATTATGGTATCACAGCCCCTTTCAAAATACCGTATGTGGGCCATTGGTTCCTCATTCTTGCAAAGTTAGGTCGCTCAAATCTTGAGTTATAGAGTCAACTTACTTCTTTATATAAATATACAATGAGCGCACAATGAACTTTGGACTCAATTTCAGCTTCTTGGGGTCAGCCTTTGATCAAGAAAAAGGAGATGGATATTTACCATCCTGAACCAGAATGCTGTCTCCAGCTCGACACTTAGCTTGACACTCGATCAAATTTTCCCTGCTTTCACGAAGAAATTGCTCCGCGGAACTGTGAGCTGATAAAATCTCTTCATGATATTCCTTGGAGCCCGATCTCGCTAGCGTTTGATCCTTGTTTAATTTGATAGTCATGAGTTCTCTATTGAAGAGGTTGCCAGCTACCTTTGCAACGAATCGAGTTGCAAGCGTTTTCGACTTAATTGGCTTGATTGACCTGATTGATTCGGCTGACTTAAGTTTTTCTAGAGACCTCATGTGAGAATCGAAGCCAGACCTTGATTGCTGGCTACCATAGTCAATCTCTGAGTCAGATTCATCTTCAGAGCTTCCCTTGTCGACATCCGATTCACCAGATATCTCGATATCCGAGAATTCTCTTTTCGCGCCAGTGACAGCATGATCCACTTCTTTGGCACAAGCCTCTGTGTCATTTTGAACAATATCTCGCTCATCGTCAACAATGATTTCTTGCTTTATTTCATCGTCACTATCATCAATCTCAATGATCTCTCTTGGCTTCACTTGTGGGATCCTCGAATCTTCAACCTCTTCATCTGGCAGTTTGTCATTGTCAATAATGTTCGGCCGACTCTGTTCTGGTGTCTGACTTGATTTGACCTTCTTCTCCGGTCTTTCACTGACTTCCAATTGTTCCAAGGTCCTCTTCGGGATCCAAAACTCTCTCTCTTGAATCGATCCTTGCGTCTTTTTAGCTATTTCGAGACAGGTCTTGGGCACGTCAAAAGAATTCGCTTCCAGGATCGTGTATGCTTCATCTTTGGGATGAAGTTAGTATTAAAGTTAGATGGTAAGGAAGAGTTGAATCTATCTTGGCCAGTAATTGAACTCACTGTTTGTCAAGCTAGGATCGATTTCAAATAGTTGTGCGAATCTTCTGCGGAACTCAAATCGTGGCAGAGATGCCATGACTGTCTTCAGTGATTGGGATCGGTGTAAGCAACATGTAAAGGAGTCGAATCAAACTTGTCTTAGTGGATATTGATAATGTGTTGAAAGGGATTGAACATAAAAGATATAACGAAATCACGAAATAAGATATTGTGTAATAAGGAAGAAGAAAGACAGAAGAAGGAGATCCAAAGGAGCTTTTTAAAGGTCTCAAAAGGAAGCTAGTGATCTCTCTCTTGCCTAAAGTGAATTGCCACGACGAGTAGGTACCTATCCAAGACTATATGAATTCGATGGGCTAAGAGTCTCTCCCTGGGAGAGCATAAACTGTAAAGGTGAAAGCCAATATCATTGACATCCACATCCGAGGTGTGTCTTTATATTATCAAGAGAAATTTGTACATTGATAATAACTTGCCATTTTGAAAATATGTACTCTGTTTTACAATACGATACATGTTTGGTCCTCGACTTTACTTCACCAAAGGTATACCACTATGAGAATGCTCATGAGGAAAGAGTATGTAATCTTACAATGATGGAGACCGTTAACGAAAGTCCGATGTATGTCTATAAAATGAAAAGATAACCTTTGGAATATTGTCATTTCAATCGTTCATACATATTTTCTTCCACAGAGGACAGTTGAGAATACTAAGAGCCTTTCAACTTGCCCTGTTTAAAGATCAGCTCAGATTTGTCGATCAAATTTGGAACATACAGTTAATGTTCTCTACTCTTCTCTCTTCACGGTTGTTCATCCTATGAAATGTTCTCGAGCATGAGAGCTTTTAAATCTTGATCATGAGTTGTTCAACGAGTGTCCTTCGTTTCTTTAAATTATGGATTTCGAAGATTATCAGCTTATCCTCAATGCAACCATGAAATCCGAGGCCCAGTATTCGAGGTCTCTTATGTCAAGAAAATTGAATATCGAATCCATAGAATGAGACTAAGAGAATGTAAAGCCTAGGGCACTCGCGCAACTGACATCGCCCTACGACACTTTCAATTACAAGATCAGAGATCATTCCCCTTATCAATTCAGGTTATAGAGCTTGAACTTATGAGATCAACACGAGTTACAGTACAGTACTAGGGCACAGATAGTTGTCGAACACCAAAATCACACCAAAAATAGGCATTTTGCTCTATTTATATAAATGAAAAAGAAATATTTAAAATCATTAAAATCAATCAGAATTTTGAATATGATTTTATTATATAATAAAAAACCTAGAATTTATAATTTTTATAATTTTGGAATATAAGAATACTATTATTTATTAAATCGAATTTGAATCAAAAGAAAAGTTCTTGATTTTCGCTTATTTTATTAGTAAATCTCAATAATTCTAATTTATATTAACTTTCTATATAGATATTATAATAAATAAAAATCCTAAAAATAAACTATTTTTTTTTAAATTTCAATTAAATATAAATAGAATAATATAAAAATAATTGAAAAAAGTTAAGGATTTTATTGAAAAATATATAAATAATTTATATGAGTTTTGATGTGATTTTAGTGTTCGATAACTATCTGTGCCCGGTTACTGTAGATTCCTCTTCCTGTATAACATTTTCATGATCTTCTATCATCTCTCACTAAAGGTCTGTCATCACATCAAATCTCATATCCCAACAAAATGAACCACGCCAACAAAAATTATTCCACGGGGAAGAGATGAAACAACATGAAATGGTACCTCTGACTGAGTCAAAAGAATTGAAGCGGTGATACCATCGAAACAGCGACCAAATAGCCATACCAGCCCGCGAGTAGCTACAAGCTAGACCTCGAAGGACTTACTCATATCTTGAATACTCATTCAATGAGGCACGATATCTGTACTTAGAAACTCCAACTAGAAGACCCTTCGATACTGCTCGAAATGTTATCCGACTTCAAATATTCATCTCACAATTTCATGTTACTAAGGGAAAATACACAGACCCTGAAAATCTTAAAGCCGATACGAATACATGATAACACTAATCAACTTTGGTAAAGTTACTTAACACGAAGTCAAATGAGACTATTTCTTTCTAGAATAGGAAGCTTTACCTAACTCTCCACCTTGGTTTAATCCATCAGCATGCGAACTTGCTTACAAAATGGAGTTCCCCAGAAGAACTTCATGATATCTCTCTAGCTTTAGACGACATCATTCATGAATTTTCTGCGCGCACCCGCAAAACTTTATACCTTTTCACTCGAAGACCTCTAATAAAAAGAATCTTAATGATGGATCTTTATCCTAATATCATACTCTGCAGTTTCTAAACCCTAAGAATACTCTGCGCCGTGGTGCATCAACTACCACAGGTATATAACCCTGTACACTGAAGATTTCATAGACGACTCATCCATTTGACTGGCAATGACTTTGACTGCAAAAATACCGCTTTTACCTAGATCTGATGCCACACACTTACAGTCCTCAAACATCCATTCCGCGGGATATCGAAAACCTACCTATGAATCCACAATTCTATCCCATCCCACGCCTTCCTATCTCTTTCCGCTTCTTAAAGCAGATGATCCCACCAACTTCATCACAATCTTCCCCCAATCTCCTCAAAATCCTGCAAAGAAAACACTCCTTCAATCGAAGCCCCAGCATCCCAACCTATTCCACTCTCCCAAACCATCAATTCTCTTTTCTCATTCCTATAACTTTCAACAATAATAGCAAAAGGAATATACTCTCCATATCTCGACACTAACTAACCCATCTTCTCCATCTTACCGCGAAAAAGAGAGCTAAGCCTACGTCTCCTTCCCATCTATAGCCCAGCTAAGTACACACATATCGCCAATCCTTCCCAGACACACTACTTCCTAATCTCTCCTACCAATAGACAACCACAAAACCAAATCACTGCGGATGTGATACCGAAAACCCCAAGGATAAGTAAAGTGAACGTTATAAAACAATACAGAACAAAGTTAAGTGAAGATAAGATAAGTAAATACAAAAATAGAAGCAGACAAACCAGAATGGGAAATAGAATGGGAAGCAGCATGGGAAACAGAATGAGGGATGGAAGTGGGATGTTGGTGATACTGGGATGCCGGAGATAAGTACGTGCGCAAACCGGGATGAGGTGATGGGATGATGGGGTAGAGAAAGAGCGGGGCGGGGAACCAGGGAGTGAGGTTTGGATTTGTGATGTTAAGGTTTGGGGTGTCAGGGTCTAGGATGTCGGGATTTGGATGTTGAGGGAGTGGGAAGATGGGGGATCGTGAGGCGGATTATGGACACGAATTCTTAGATCCTTTCCTAGAAGATGTAGAGTTGAGGGATGAAACACGGCGTTTGTGATTTTTAGTGTCGAGGTATTTCTTTATCTCATGACTTGGTGAAGATCTAGATTGATATCGATGAGAGATGGGGTTGAATGATGTATGAACATTATGCATTATATGCTTATATACGACTATAATCTATGACAATCTACCAACGCCCATGACATACATATGCACCATCCCCATTTTCGCATCAAAACACCATCAAGAAGCATCCATAAAATGCAATGCAATGCCATGCCATGCTCACATCCACAGAAACAAACAAGCAAAAACACACTCAATCCCAATGCCCATGCAAATACTCCCCCTTGCTCACAATACTATCCTGACAATCCTTCAAATACCTCGCCTGTCTGGCCACCTCCGCAAGTCTATCCAGCATCCTCCCATTACTCTCTCCAAACCCGTAGACTTCATATTTCAATCCCGTTTCCGCGCAGAATTCCTTCACGTATCCACTCGCTTTACGTAAATTGTGTCTCGGCATGCGTGGGAATAAATGATGGGTGACTTGGAATTGGAGACCGCCATGGAACCAATCCATCCACGTAGGACAGTCTACATCCATGGTTGTGCGGAACATGCGTTGGATCCAGTGTTCGCTTGGTTCTGATTCTTCGGTCGACATGGAGAAGTGGGAGACGGTTAATTGGAGATGGAGTGGGAGGGTGATCATGTGACAGATGAGACAGAAAATGATGCGTTGAGAGTTGGTAGGGATACTGCGGTAGACGAGGAAATATCCAAACCAAGTCCAGAAGAAGATTTGCCCGACGAGCTCGAAAATTCGTTGTTTACGGTGGAGTTTGGTGCCGAGATCGCGGAGGATAAAGTCCCAGGCGAGATAGTAGAGATTGAAACGTGCGACCGAGAGGAGGAAATAGTATGTCCATGCTTGTTTTGGGACCATGAACTTTGCAAACCAGTTGTAGTGCATGATACATTCGGAAGCTGTCGAGTACAAAGAATCGAAGAATACCGGCGAAATGGCGATGAAGGGTAGGATTTGAAGATCTTGATCATGGGTGGGCGAATTCGTAACAATGTGATGAATATTGTGATTGCGTTTCCACCAGCCTATCGAAAGTCCACCGCAAAAATTCAAAACCACACCACCGATTAAGAAATCGATGTTATAATCGTGGGTTACCGCCAAATGACCTGCGTCATGTGCCGTGGCGACGATTTGATGCCAGAACATGCCGAGGAATGCTGCACTGGTAGCATACCATTCCATGCGAAGAAAAACCATTGAAAGAGAAAATAAAATCGTACATCGTAGAATTTCCGTTACATACGCCGATAGCTTGCTGTCGTATAAACCTTCATTTTCCAATCTCGCAATTAGAGCTTGGAATCTGGTCTCCAGTTCTGTGGCGTCCATCATCTTGGTTTCCAGGTCGGGAATCTCTTCGGAATGAACTGAACTTCCCTCCGTTCGATTTCGAAGTCGTAAACCCTCTTCATCGAATACGGAAGAGGCAATGGAGCTCGCATCACTGTCCGGATTTGCTTGACGCGGTACAGCTAAGAGATTCTCGGTGACGCTGACATCAACCAAAGGGATTTCGGTGATAGGTGTTGAAGGTTCTTTTTCGACCTCATTCTCTGGTATCCGAAGTGATTGCCGTTGAATTGGGGGTATAATGTTTACCCATGGTTCTTCCAATTTACCAATTCGATAACGGACCATTTGGGCCTTGACCTCCTTGCTATGAAATCTAGAAATAGTCAGCTACTATAATTTATTCTCAATCCTGCTTATATCAACCACTCACGCATCCAATTCAACGGTAGCATCTCTTCCCACAACATGTAGAATAACTTTTGCACCACCGGGGTGACGGTTAAGCCATGCGTCCAACTTCAACACATATCCCTCTGATATAACAATCGCGTGACCTTGCTCCACCAACTCTCTGATCTCCTTCAACGGCCACACCTTCTCACTCCTGACTTTAGACGACGAATCCATAATAGTTGCTTTGACCAAAGTGTCAAATTCGCCCATTTTATTTTTCTCGTGCGACGGAGCTTAAATAAAATGTGTTTGAATGCGGTACAGTAAGATTAGCGATTAGCGGAGATTAAATAAAAAATCAACACGCCCAATCTTAGATACGCCCCAACAGTGAATGACTTGGCGTGTAGGTATGGACCACGAATTAAGTACACGCTTATGAATGAAGAGCGTTGTGAAATTGCTAGATGAGGAATGAACGCAAAAATACACTCAAGAGCCCTGCACAACAAAGGGGAATCACGTGCATAAGCATAAACATAGACGATTAGGAAGATCAAATCAAATCAAATCAAATCAGAAAACGAGAGTCGAAATGGGAAAGCCCAGGTATATAAAGCAGTAGTACGATGATACCAGATATTATCTAGGTATATTAAGTACCATTCAATCATACACATGATATCCCCTTTGGTTCGCCAACACAGCCCAGTTACTGTTTTCTTCTGATGACCCATTGTTTTTTTTTTCTGCACCTCGCTGGCATGAACTTTTAACGTGGAGTAAGAATTCCACTCTCGGGTTTCACGGAATTTGACCTATCAGTGTCAGTTTCTACTTAGGTCAAACTAAGTTTACTCTTGTGCCGGTAAACTTGTAGTAGGCTAGATCAGCTTGTCCTGTCAAGCCGCCGGTGCTAACCACATCTAACTGCGATCTGATAATTTATTATCGTTGAATCGTGCCATATAGTATAGGCTATAGCTGCCTGGAGTTTACAGAGCACGTATTCAATACGGTCGTCAGAGCTGGGAGCTCAGCCCACTGCCATTTCACTCCGTTGAGTCCCTTCTCATGGGGATTTATATTAAATTGGCCGGGGGCCATCGTTGAGATCCACAGGGTGATGAAGATCCACTTGTGAAAACCCTTTTCAGATGAGAAGGAATGGAAAACCGTCTTACCGGTACATCGTTGGCTAATTTTCCGTAACTTCTGGACGGAGCACAGGATACGCTGCTTACACAATGGATTTTCGCATGTTCAATGGCGGATTCGTAAATTAAATCGGGGTCGGAGGCTGTTGATTTGTTGGCTCTCACTCCATTTGTGACATTGTGATCCTGCTCTGCAGCGTCAATCTGACTGTTGAACCCCTATTTATCAGAGGCTCACTCAGAAGTCGTCACAATAGGATTAGGGATTAAGGGTGGCTTATTCGATGCGTCGTAGTTGCGCGACTAATAATTCAGACTACTCCGTACTAAGTACCTGTCAACCTTTCCTATTAGTTCCTAGTTCTATTTGCCAGGAGTGGGAATTTCCCTATCGACATTCGCCATCAGCATTAAGACCTACCTATCCGCCTGACTGTTCGCCTGACTGTCGTGAAAAATGCATCCGCCAAAATTTAACATTCACACTCCAATTGTGAATCTGAGCATCGATGAAGGATGTCATGTAATGGAAACTAGCTACAAAGTAAAGTTTATTATTGACGCCAATTGAGCTCAAATAGGTGGTGGTTATGATTCAGCTTCAGCTGGTGCTGGTGCTGAGGAAAAAGAAAGCAAACAAACAAACATGAGGTTCAAAAATAGACACGCTATTCAACCGACTATAGCAATGAATGCCTTGCAGATAATATCTACAATGATTTCGTGAAAGGTAATAAGGTAGTAAGGTAGGGCGAATTTTCACCGTTCTATTCTCATACAATTATAGGTGAATAATAATATGTAAAAGGTAGACAAGACACAGATTGATATCGCGATTGTCATACAAAATAAAACATCTCCGTATTTTACCCCGCATTGTAGCAGTGCAGTCTACCTACACCTAGGTACCTACCCCTTTTAGGTTTTAGGTAACTCGGTAGGTACTAAGGTTCGGCCGATGCTTCGAAAGGGGATAGTCGCCAGTACTAGTAAATAACCAATGTTTGTTTCTTCTTCTAAATATTCATGGTTATGATGTAACCTTAAAATAGCATCTTTGTTTGTGCTCTTCCAAACGGCACGAACGTACGACATCGAGCATAGTATTAACGCCAATCGAATTGCCTATTTGTACATTTTGAGCGAAAGTCATAGCAGAGATACTCACTAGCTCTTCTCAATGTTCGAAATATCCATTTGCTTCACTCGAATGAATTATTCAGGAGTCATCAACATGACAAGCGTTTTAAGGTGCTTCTGGAGCTCTGGTTCCATGCTGAAATATACAATTTGGTGATGAGTCAACTAGCAACACTTCATATGCAGCTAACATCAAACTTGGCAGGTACGAGTAGGTCCTCAACTTTTGGAACGGGTGTGAATGGTTCAAATCTGTTCAAAGGCCTTCATTAGATATCGTGAAACCGCACATCAATCAGGTTTACACCACCGTCTACTCAAAGCTTATCAACTTCATCCTCATTCTTGAACAAGATCACTGTTTACCTTGATTGCTTTTCTACCCAGTATTCACATCACCTAGCATCTTTTCCTACAATGATTTTCCAAGTAAGCGAAGTAATTGCTGAATCTGAATATCAAAAGATTGTGTTCGCATGACTCACTTGCTACGATTCCCCTCCCCCAGTGTGCCTCGTACGCTTTCCTATCACCGTATCGATGAGAATTTGGAAGCTTGAATAAACTCAATCAAGGAAGGTACTGCACGTTTCGTCGCTCCCCAAAGGTCCAGATCACACCAGCGTCAGGTCGATGCAACTGATCCTGAGCCTGCAAAAAAATTGGCAAAGCCGAATAGAGATTTTTTGAATCGGATCCATATAAAGATATTTCATTGCCTGAAGCAAGCTGGTGGCTGGAGAGTGAGAATCGAGAGTTTACTACGAGGTATTGGCATGGAAGAATGAAATCAAGAATCAAGTGTGTGGCAGATTCCTTCCAAATTGTTCCCCCGGCCTGATATAATAAATGCTCGATCTCCTTTACGGCAGTATCCATGGATGATTATGAACTAGTCAGCCCATTGTCGGCTTCGAAAAGATCATCGTACTGATGAATAATGGCCCTTCGATGGTGTTTGATGAAGATGGTGGGAGTAATAAGATGTGGAATCTTTTGGTTTTGAATAGGATGGTTATGAATATTCCATCACCATCTAAGCGGGTGGTGAAATACGACAAGATGAAAGAAGAGTTACTTCTCGATGGAAAGTATCATTGCACAGTTTCTGTAACTGAGGTATCCAGGATTGTTTCTGCATACCTACTGTAGTCAATTTCTAAGATATGCTTACGTAAAAGTCATACGCGGCATTGAGGAGTTTCTAGGACCACTTTGTTTTAACTGATAACTTCACTAATAAGTGAAAGAACTGCACGCCTCCGATGATTGTGTCAAAAAGAAGAGAGGAATCAATAAAGATTCCAAAGGCTCGATGATGACTTACAACTACGAACTCAAATTATATTTACCTTTTTTGAAGACTACAGAGGGAGGGAAGATTGTCAGAAACATGGGCACACCAGCACTTTTCATCAATTTTTTGAGTCAACGCTTCAGTTCACAGTCATGATATGTATAGGTATGACTCTAATCCTTAGTAAAATTCATATGATTCGAACTAGGAAACTCGAGTCATTGCTCCAGTGACTTTAATCCTGTCAAAGTGCTTATAGCTCGCAGCTCTTCTCAAACTTTTCTGAGTTCACAAAATCACAAATAATCAAACATCCTTCAGTATTCGTTCTGCATATCAAACCTCAACAAATCGAAACTACACACAGTACCATAAGGCACATTTTCAAACGCAAGACTAAATCAAGAAAGACTTTCAAACTTCCATATCTTATCATGGCTCATCGGACTCTTGATTCCCTGAGTTTTGGCCAACCAAGAGCAGGTCAAAGTCACACACACCAAGTTATCGATGTCAAAGAATCTTTGAAAAAACGAGAAAATCCAAAAACGCCAGAACCGCAGTGCCACCATGTACTCGATTTAACGAAGTTTCTTGAAAGAACCATCAATGTGTCTAGTGCGGTTATTGATAGTGCACTTGATCGCAAGCGTAAAGCACTTGATTTGTTACGTAATCGTTCCCCTTTCCCGGACAACTACATTTTCTGGGGTTATGGCGGGCGACCTGAGCCTCGTCCACTGTTGAGGAATCATGGTCAGGCCACAGAAGTAGATCTCGCATGGCTCTTTGCAATCTTCAACACCATTTTTTTCATGAATGCACTTCCAAGCAATACCAGGGTCGTTCGGAGAAACAATTTTCTCTTCGGTCATGAGCTTAGGGTTACTCTCCTTGAAAAAAGAATTGCAATCTTGACTTGCGCTATTGTCGACAACGTTCATGCCGGGTTTGAGAGGAGAGACGATCATAAGTTTCATCCTCCCATGATCGACGTCCCTTCTAGGCTCGTTGATCCTTTCGGTCCCGGACACGTGGTTGTTACTTGGAAGGATCAAGTTGGTAGTCTCTTGGGGTCAATGATCGATCTCTTTATACAGTACTACAGTTGTAGACATGATGAATGCTGGAATAATAAATACACTCATGGTAAAGATCACAGAGGACAAGCGTGGCAAGTTATCGCATACCGTTTCGAAACATCCCCAACAATGAAACAAACCCAAGAGGCATTGGGAAGTCCTATAGATTTGCAAAGAATGGAAGATTATCATTTGGATTTGAATCATTGGAGTTTAAGAGAGCTTGGCAGCCTTGAGAGTAACTTACTCCGCAGCAGGATTGAGACGTGGGGCTGGGCACCGGACAGTCAACTGTCGTGTGTAAGAGCTGTTCAAGAGTGGAAACGAAGCCAGGCCAGAGAGAAAGAAAGGCGGGCTATGGCCAGAGAGAAAGAAAGGCGGGCTATGGCCAGAGAGGAAGAAAGACTGGCTGTGGCCAGAGAGGAAGAAAGACGGGAAAGAAGAAGGCGGGCTGCGGCCAGATTCACAGAACGGCGGGCTAGACATCGTTATGAAAGATGATTTGGAAAAAGGGAAGGATAGCTATGGATGTGTACGTACATCTCAACTGTACTAATACTTAAGCAATAAAGCTAGCGTGACTTTACACTTTCTACTTTGCTTCGATCATTCTTGCTGCTTCCATTTGTTGAGTAGGATGATATCATATTATTTCAGTCAGTAAAATTTACATGTCAAATGTGACTCCTGTTAAATTTTGACCGATGTGCACTCTCACAGTCATTAGCTCATGATTCATAACGGATGCGTTTGGCTAGATAATGAATGAATGTTAATAATCAGTAATTCCTCCACCAACAAATTACTTACACTGTCATTCAGTGATTTCCCTATTGATTCTTCCTTAACTCCAAGCAACATTTGTTCTGCATACCACGCTGCAACACCTTCAGCAATAAGAAATAAAATCAAGCAGATTACGACATAGCAATTTCCACAAAGAAAACCCATATCACACGAACACTTTTGTAAAGAAAACATGCCTTGCAAACATCAGCAATATACCGCCACGACACTTTCGGGACCATTTGTATTTGCCAGGCCATACAAATACGATACCTCCGGGTTGGTTCAAGCCCTTGAAGACAGCCTCAATCCATCTGGAGATGAATTCAAATCGTTACGGGAAGACATTCTATACAGAATCGAAAATCATACAGATCAGACATTTTTGAGAAAAATGGACGACGATAACCCTGAAAGACTATCCCTCAAATCATTGGACTTAATATTCGCAAGATTCAACGCCTATTTTTTCAAGAATACTCTTCCGCAAGATACAATAATCTTTCGAAAAGCTAAAAACAACATAAGTATCTTACCAGGATGTTGCGTCTCTTTCAAAGAAGCCTCGTCATTAGCCGTTCTCGCTGCTGCAACTAGAATCTTCCACAGTTCTACCCGCGAGATCGATCGTATTGAGCCACCCTGCCTATTCCTTCCGTCTAAGGGTACTTGCTCTCCCAACAGCAGCCCTGGAGATGACGTAAGCGCTCTCCTAGAAGCAATGATCGAACTCTATCTGCAATGGTACAGTTGCTGTAAGCCCAGCTGTCTGGAAAGTATTACCGCGTGTGGGAAGCTCGGCAGAGGACAAGCATGGCAGAAGATCGCCAACCTGTTAGAAAGATCTGAGATGATGAGCGATATGCAGACTTTGATTGGTTCGCAAGTGCGCTTGAGAAGATATGAGGAGTTTGTTAGGGAACTGAGCTCGTGGGACAAGCCGAGGAGGTTGATATCATTGGATTTGTTACGGGAATTGGGGTTGGTGGCATGGACTGTGGATGATTTTGTGAATGCTGTGGAGGAGTTAAATAGAAAGACACTTACTTCCCCAAGGGGATGAATTTAAATAGTGAGGAGTTTGATAGCGGGGGGATATCTTCATTTCTTTTATGTATTAGTAGATAGTCGAACAATGAAGTCAGCGTGATTTTTACTCTCATTTGGTTGTTATACTGAGTATTATTTGTATTTTCTTAGAGGTTAGCTCTTATAATAAGAAGGAATAATAGTATTATAAGGATAGTGGAAGATCTAATCAGTTTAAGCTTGAGGGATAAATCGAATATATAGAATAAGAGTTGAATTTAGAAGAGCTAGGCTGAGTTGAGATGAAATTGCTTGCTTTTTTCTAGAATTTCTTTAAAGAATATTCTAGGTTTATATAGTTTATAATAAAATTCCAGTATATTCCATACTTATAAATAAAATCGATTTAAATCATATCTTATAAAATCACTTTAAATAATAAAAAGAAAGTATAATTAATTAATTTAGCGAGATTTCCTGTATACTTCCATCTAGTTCTATTTCATTCTATTCCATTATAAATCAATTTGATAAGAGATACTATTATACAACTATATAATAATATAATTTTATAATATAAGATTATATTATATATGTATTAATTATCAATATATCCCTTATTTGATAAGATATTAGTAAGTGATTTAGTGGACTTATTATGAATCCTTATATATTTATAGATTGATTTCTAGATGTCTGTATACTCTAATGCGACTCTTACCTGACTAACTAATATATCTTGTAGATGTATGATGGTCAATCATTAATTAGGTACTATCTAATTGGCAATCACCATATATCAGATCTCCTTCTCAGTTTCAAAGTTTGATAAATCAGTTGATACTCAAGTTAACTACCTGTCAATATCAGTGCCTAGCAATACAAATACAAACGACTTAAATCTTGATGTATAGAGAGTTAATTCTTGATCACGTATATCTTGTCTCGTCGTATCAAAGTTCTCTAATTCTATTTATCCCCTTTCTCCCTGAAGGAAGATGAGTAATGAATTACCGAATTACCCCTAATCAATGCTTTACAGACTAGAAGATCCGGATACCTCATGTTCAATTAATACGGTATCGTGGCCTGGACTTGTGGAAAAAAATACAAGCTTTGAGTCAAAGCAGCTTGGGATATCAATTTTTCAGACTATTGTGATATACAAATTGAATTGAGGTATTCGAAGTTTCTGGTCTCTGATCTGTTTTCTTAACCATTAGAAAAATGGACTATTCATACAGTACAGTATGAGAAATTGTTGAAGTGACGGCTTTCGAACTTGGTTCGTTCCAACGCCAGTAAAAGAAGTGAATAATCCTCGAATAATCCTCGGCAAGATGTGGGACTACTGTTAGGGATTTTGCTTGGAAAACAACTGTAGGTCACCAACTGTTTGCTTATCATCCACCACCTTCCGCTTAATCATACCATTTACTGAACTTTCTGACCACTTTGAATTCGAGAGACAGAAAACAAAAATGTACCAAAAGGATCTAAGTATCTTACTGTCGTTGCAAAATATTGCTGCAACCATCATCGTTTACTTCGGTAGTCTTGCTTTCTACCGCCTGTTCTTACACCCTCTTGCACAATTTCCAGGGCCAAAACTAGCAGCCATCACAAGATACTATGAAGCATATTATGATATCGTACAGAATGGTCAATACAAATTCAAAATCGCTGAAATGCACAAGAAATACGGTTTGAACAGATGACTATATCTTATCTCTCAGATCATACATGAAGGCTAATCATTCACCAAGGTCCAATCATCCGCATCAGTCCTTACGAGCTCCACGTCATTGATCCAGCCTTTTTCGAAAAGCTCTACCGCCAAGATGGGCGTTGGCACAAGTATGGTTGGGCTTTAGATGGGTTTTCTGCAGGAGGTACTACTATCTGCACGGCTGATCATGATATCCATAAGGCTCGTCGCCTACCTCTAAATGCTTTCTTCTCCAAAGCTCAAGTTGCCGATAAACAAGATTTAATCCGTCGGAATGTTCAGAAGATTTGCGATCGTATCGCGCAATTTACTAGCACAGGACAGATAGTCAACCTAGGCGCTGCTACGAGCGCTTTCACTAGAGACGTTTCAACGGAATTTATTCTCGGAAAATCATATAACAGTCTTGATAAAGAAGACTTTGATATTGGGATGACAAATGTCTTCCAAGGATCTGGTCATATCTGGCGCATAACCAAGCATATCACTTGGTTTGGTCCCACTATGAAATCGATACCCGTAGACTGGGTTATTAAAGTTGCTGATGATGGTACAAAGGCTTTCTTCCGCTATCTGAAGGTAAGCCATCTCATTTTTACGTGAAGTTTCATCATAAACGAGTACTTTATAGGAAACTACACATGATACGAAGGAGCTTTTAGCCGCAATAGCTTTGTACGATCCAGATGACAAGGCTCCCCGCACTATAGTCCACGAAATTCTATACTCCAAGCTTCCAGCTAAGGACAAGAAGTTTGAACGTGTCTTTGACGACGTAGCTACAGTGACAGGAGCTGGTTTTGAGACAACTGCTAGCGTTTTACGCTTAATCATTTTCCACGTTTTCAACAACCCTGAAATCCTCGACCGACTACGCAAGTAACTTTCGTTTGCCTCGATCTCTCCTTCTGACTGGTCGAAGTAAAGACACTTGAGCAACTCCCATACTTATCATCAATATTGATGGAAGGTATGCGTCTCAGCCCTGCCATTGCTTCACGACCAGCAAGAATTTCTCCCGATAGAGAGCTCACATATCGAAAATGGCGTATCCCTTCTGGCACACCTATTGGTATGACGACACTGTTAATGTACACGGATGAGAATTTATATCCAGACCCAATGCATTTCAATCCTGAGCGGGGGATGGATATCGATGTCCGAAGGAAGCACGACAAAACTTATGCTCCCTTTTCGAGGGGAACGAGGATTTGTCTCGGCATGAAGTATGTCTCCTTTTGACTTGATGTTATATTTCCCGTTGCTGACATTATTTTTTAGTCTCGCATGGGCTGAGATGTATATGCTTCTTGCCGCTCTTTTTCAACGATTTGATTTCCACTTTGAGGGCGTTACTTCAAAGGACTTTGAATGTGAGAGTGATCAGTTCATCATTGGGACTAGTTGGAAGGGCGTCTTGAACGCTTTTGTCACTTCTTGTGAATAATATGCTCTGAAGTGAAAATCTAGGGCAGGAGACTGAGGTCTAAGATCAGGACTTGTTGGCGTTGGGCGCACGGTACGCTATTCAAGAGTGGAAATTCATAAGCTTCGGATCCCGCTTTTCACGTTCAACATCGATTGGGTAGCTAGTATAAATTTACTCATACCATGATTATTCTGTTGATAATATTGATTTCCAGGCCCTCAGTTTAACAAATCGCTTTAAATATATCCTGAAAGATGAATACTGACTTGGGTACATGCATATTCCTAAAAAGGCCAAACGAGCCGTAATAATTCGGACAATTACGGTAAGGACCTCCCCACAAACGAGGGGAATTCTTTAATATAAAAGCCACACTAGTACTATGCCCAGAAAACCTCGTAACTATTTTTGAATCTAACAATCATTCAAGCAAGAGGCCTCAATACAATTTCTCCAGTGACTCACACCGCCTTCATCTTCAGTGCCACAGGCAGTCAAGGGAGCGCTTTGTGCCAACAGCTCCGCGATCTTGACTGGAATATCCATGCAACAACGCGCAACCTCGAGTCACCCGGAGCACGTATATTGAGAAATCGTGGTGTACAGTTTACACAAAGCGATTGGGAAGACATGGATGCCCTCCGCAATTCTATGAGCGGCTGCGAAAAACTCTTCCTGTGTCTACATCCCAAGCTCGACGATTTAGATTATGAGTGTCGACAAGCCGAGAAAATCCTCAAAGTCGCAAAGGAGGTAGGTGTAAAGCAGGTCGTTGCATCTACGAGTCTCGGAGTGAGTATGCTTGGTACTGGGATACACATTACACCCGATTCCTTTATGGCCAAGCATCTCGCGGGAAAAAAGGGAGTGGAACAGGCGGTTATTGATGGGAATTTTGAACATTGGACGTTTCTCCGTCCTGCCTTCTTCATGGCGAATTTTCTAGAGCCGAAAGTACATAGATACCCCGAGTTGCGAGAAAAGGGTACGTGGACAACAGCCATGACCGCCGAGGGAAAGTTTGCATTGATTGATCACGTCGATATTGCTAAAGTTGCTACTGCAGCGTTTCAAGACCCGGAAAAGTTTCACGGATGCGCAATCGGGCTGGCTAGTGAATTTGACTATCCCGGAGATTCTTAATCGGCTTGGAGAAATCATTCAACTGCCCCTTGAAGCAGTATTTATGACAGAAGAGGAGATTACGAAGCAAAAAGACTCAAATGTCTTTGTTAATTCACAAATTGCCATGAGATGAATGTCGGAATATGTCGATATGGAAGAACTTTCTAGGCTCGTTGCGTTGACGACATTTGAGCAATTCCTTGCGAGGAGGACATCGTGAAGAGGACATATTTATGATTAGTGTGAATGCTTATTCTACACCTATTATGTATCCGAGTAGCGGTATAGCAAAGGCCGAGCCAATTCATCGAATTTGTTTCAAGAAGTCGCTCCTGATTAAATGATTCAATGAGGTATTTCGTACATCCACTTATTGTTTTAATGATGTTCATCCTGTTCAAATATGAAATATACAATCGCGATCCCATCATGTTCGCAGAAATTAAAATATTGTCGAGCGACAATAAATCACAACCCCAATGGTCTCAATGTATCTTACTATCCAAATGCCTTTCGCCAATCTCCGCCACCTCTAGATCATCACTTTCTGCCCGCGTTCTTCCCACCACTGTAGTAGCCTCTCTTTTCCTGTCTATTCGCTTTAAGCCCCACAACAAAACCGTGGTCCAGATTGCAAGAGCAATACACGTTCCAATCATCGCCCACATTCCCTTTATGAATCTAGGCGCCTCAACCGCGCCGTAAAATAGTAAACTCCACCATGCATTTACAGCACTACTACCACAATTCATACTCGCTATCACTATTGCTCTCAAGGCGTCGTTTTCGAATCTCATGGCTTCGTTGGTCCATGCGAAGAAGGTCGCTTGACAAGCGTAGACAGAACCAGCCCAATAGTATGCTGCAAATATTGTTGCTACATTGGAAGTTGTGAGTATCATAGCGGAAGTTACGATTCCGGTAATTGCGATGAAATAAGCGACAAGGTAGCGTTTGCCGTTGAGAAAATCTGTAAGAGTTGCCCAGAAGAGGGTAAATATGATACCAACAGCTGGAACACCAGTAGGATAATTGTTGAGTTGAGAAATTGAATATTTGCCCATGGATTTCATGTATAATGAAAGTAATGAATTTGAAGAGAAAGATTCGCTTTCTCCAGCAATAATCCACAGAATAACGAATCCATACCAGTACCATGATGTGACGACAGTTTTGAGAAATGCAAAATTCCAGAGACGATGTTCGGGCACTTCTGGAACACGTGTTTTAGCGAGATCACGCTCAACCGGGGTGAGATAGAATGCGGATGTTGTGGTCGGAGTATCTGGGAAAAGAAGAAAGCCATAAAGGGCAATCGGGAGAGTGATAAGTCCGTCAATGATAAACAGCCAGCGCCAGCCGCTCATTCCTTTCACACCATTCAAGGATGAATGAATGCCGGTTTGGATAAACCCTCCAAACATAGTACCAGCAAGACCAGAAGAAGTAAAGATGCCGCTGCGCTTTCCGAGCTCTCGAGGAGTGTACCATGATCCGAGAATGTAATGGGTACCAACAAATGTGCTGCTTTCAGCAAGACCTTGGAAGAAACGGATAGCCATTATATCCCGAGGGTGATGAACGGATGCAGTGATCATAGTTAGACAGCCCCACAGAACCATCATTGATGGGAAGAAAATGCGAGGTTTGATGTAGTAGAGTGCCAGATTACTAGGAATTTGTCCAATGATGTATCTGGAACACCATTAGTATAACTGAACACATATTAGATGGCCAAATACAGAGAGTCCTGGAAATCACAACCAGTCTTATGAGGATTGAGATGAGAATTCAGGTATCAATTAGAAACACTTCGGTCATAGCATATTAAGAACTTCAACAGAGACCTAACACATACCCAACAGTGAAAACGGTATTAATAAGGTTATATTGATTACCCACGAACCCCAACTCTTCCTTCATTCCACTAACATACGCATTTGCCAAATTCGATCGATCCAAATAATTCGTAAAATAAGATAGACAGCAAAATGTTAAAATGAAGAAGTCTGTAAGTATTAGAAATTCGACTAATGAACATTCGATTGCACGAGCCATGCATGATAGATCCAAGAACTCACCTAGTTTCTGTACCAGCTTTCTCTCTCCTGGATGCTCGTAGGGATGGGAGATATATTCCCTCACACGTGACATTGCCATGATCGAAGACAGCTTCTTTGGACTGGTCAAGCGTGACCTGAGCTGATGAACAATAGTTACGGCTCAGACCGAAGTACTTTTTGGCATGTAAATGAGGAAACCAAAGCTTGATATATCTTTGGCTTTGATATCTTCGGCGTGGATATCTTCGGCGTGGATATCTTTACTGCGTACGGCAATCCGTGTGAATCTATGTATCCCCGCAGACAAGCATTAACCCCACTTCCAACGATAACGGTTCTATCAAAGCATAACGTTTGAGATGCCGAAGATAACAGTACACCTCAATCAGCCGATAGACTGCGATGTTCACTTGATGGTAGAAAATCTAATGGTATTGAGTATCTAGGCTCGAGCTGGACAAATACTGAAAAGAGGAGAAAAATCGTTGTACCCCACCCTGTCAATCTGCTATTTCTCCGAAAATCACCCGGATAGCTCAGCCATTTTGTGCCCCTTCCATCCAAACCCTTCCTTCCACAACGCCAGACCAAATAGCAGTCTTAGACCATATGTTCCCCAAGATTCTGCAAACTCCTATCATCATAGATTTCCGCGTTCGAAGTTCTATTACGTTTGATTCTCGAGTCTCTCAGCCGAGGAGACAATGCTGTTATCGGCTTCAGTGGATGCAACTGAGGTGAAATGTCAAACTAGTAAACGGTTAAAAGCTGCCAAGCAGTCTAATGATGGGAGTCTTACCTGTAGCTTTCTTGTGTTCCTCGTCGTGTGCTTTCTAGTCAATCCTATTCGCGTTCTCCTCGCAAGACTTTTTTGACAATCTGCTCTGCGGTGGTCTCTCCCATCGAAAGCAATATTGTCCAAGTTCCATAGCAATACGTCTCGATCGAATTCCCGTTCCTAAAACCGGCTCTCCATCCAACGTTGTGCCAACTTCGTAGGGGACATCATAGTCAGATATAGGAGGTGGTCTTTCCGGCCATGCAGGTCGGTTAGGTGCCTTGAGATATTGTTCCATGATACCGCCAGATTGTCGTTTCTTTACCCATTCGTTTAGAAACTCGCGGAATACAGAAACATCAGCGTCCAGTTCACGATTGCAGACCCATTCTGGGAGATTTTGAACCATGTCCATATTTCGTTCCCAATGGGGGATCCCAGTAAAGTATGAATCGTTTGTTATGAGCTGATGTAAGGTGTATATCACGCCGCTCACGTCGTCACGATTATCCATCAACCAAAAGCTTCCACATGAGGCCCTATCAAAGTCGAACAAAATGAGCTTTTGTGTATCGGGATCGATAAGTAAGTTCCGTGGTGCAATATCTTGATGCATGATTCCCAAATTCAAGTTCAGGAAATCGACGACTTCAGTAAGTTGTTGTAACCACTCAAATCGAAAGGGTATCTTTGGATTGCTCAGACTTCCACCTGGAATATACTTCGTTGTGAAGCCGATCACACGGGACTCCACGTCTTCGAGAACGACGCCATCGAACTGCACTAGGTTGGGATGCGGTGGCAGACTTCTGAGAAGGTTCATTTCGTTCCAGGCCATTTGTACTCTTAGTGGTTTTTCCAAAACATTGAATTTGAAGGCGACCATTCGAGTGTTCCGGCTCTCGTCTTCGTATGATGAAAGATCAACAAATGGTGCAAGTCGATCGAGCTCTTTAAGCTGGGAACGCTTGATTGTACGACATCCAGCTAGCGATTCAATAGTCGAAAATGGTGGATAAGCAATGAACAAAGCTTCGTCCTCCTCCGGATCTGTGGAGACCCCGCAAATGAGTCCATCGTTGTCGACGTCAACTGCTCGAATTTCTGGAGATAAACAATCAGCAAATTGTGCCAGCATGGCGACCTCTTTATCTTCTCCCGGTGGAAAATCCTTTCTTTTGCCTTTGAGTTTGATCAGACGCAATTGATCCCAATCCCAGACATTACAATAAGCATCATCACTAAGGTAGGTTTGACCTTCGGACCAGAACCTATCTTCAAGTGGAATCATTCTGGCGAAATAGAATGATGTGGTGTTACTCCGAGTATTTTGAAGAGTAACAAAATTCGACCGGAAATATTTATTTGCTAGAGAGAGTTTATTGACTTTATGTGACTTATTAGAGGGTCGGCAGTGTGGTACTTCCGTAAGATTAGGTAACACAAGCGTCGGGAAGTGTGTGACACGTGACTTTCACCTGACTATGGGCACGCTGAAAATTGAGCAACTCGATGCAGGCCAGATTGTAGATGAAGATACATGAAGACTGATACATACTCGCAGATCTTGGAATTAGTATTAGTGCTAAGCAGTTATCAACAATTCAGTTCAACTATTCCCTCCAACTTTTTACAGGTATGCGCAAGATTATTCACGAATGTTGCACATTCAGAAACTATACTGGCAAAACAGAACATATAGGTTTGTGAATGGAAAGAAACTATCAGCAGCTATGTTGCTTATAGTCTTCATAATAGTTCAAGAAAATCTGCAATGTCATTAATTATCCTACCATCAATCCAAAGCTTTCAACTCTACTACAGGCCTATCATTCTTCTCAGTCATTCTATTTCTACCTCAACTACGAAGCGTCCTTTAATCAGCAATGGCAGCAGTCATCCCACCTGGCCAGATTGGAACAAACGTTGCGAATCAACACGTCAACGACCCTAGGAATCCCAACAACTGTTTCTGCGGTTGGTACATTTACTATTCTAGCGTGTGCGGTCATGCATTCCAGGAGGTTGCAGTACAATGCGGCGCTCGAACTACGCCATCCGGAAGAAGCGGCTTTTGTAGAAGTCCAGCACCGAGGAATATTATTCAGGCCCCGCAGATCAATGCGCAGTGTAGTTTTTGCTAACTGGGGTCGGTGGAGAGGGGAAGGACCGAAGAAATGAAGGAAGGTTAGATTAATGGGGGAGGAAGACATATGAGAAGAGCTACACCTGAGATTTTTCGATTGTTGCCCTAGGTATCTAGGACACAAACGAGTTGGGTGTGCTCTATCCTATCCACTTGGAGCTTAATCATTTCAGATGATTAGCTGGCAAGGAACTCATGGTCAGGTTCAGATAATGCATTACGATCTCCAAACATGCGTCCCACTATCTGACTTGAGCTTGTATGCCTTGGGTGATTTTTAAAAATGAGGTGATGGATTTAATGGTTTGATGTCACTGTGAATGGGTTGAAGTCTCTTTGCTAAACACCACGAGATAAGTACTGGATAAATCAGCAAAGACTTGCAGTGAAGAACTTAGAATAGGGGAGTAATGGGGGAAATATCTTCCCCGATGTCGGATTTGATAGTTCAAATGCATAGTAGACATTGAATATGATGTCTTAAGGACTTCATGGGATATCCAAGCTCGATAAGTTATTTACCACCACATCCATCGAAACGGCGAATACGAAAAATGCGAATCCAAGTACACAAGCTTTTCAAACCCTATCAAAAACCAAAACGCCTGCCAGAGAACCATGCTGAATATTTCGACGAAGAAGTACAAAATAGAATAATATATCAAGCTGTCACGCCTATTCACCACCCGGTCCACCAGGTCAAAGTGACATGACACCACAACTGCATCCATGAGAACATCAAATAGATGGCCCGTCTTTTCATTGATCTTCGCGCGTCTGTAAGCCTATTCTCCAGTGTTTTATATCAGTATACGCATTGAACAACGACTGAAACGGCAGAAGATGAAAGATGAGTCACTAACCTCCGCATAACTCGCATCCTCAGAAAGCTCTCTAATTCTTCTAAACATCAATCTCCCATTCGCGCGTTCCTCATCACTAAATTTCTGCACGAAATCCTCCCGAGTCTGCGCAACTATTTCATCGGCCGCTTCTTGTAGTTTTTTGGCATCTTCTAGGTCCAGCCCGTCAAGTTCTCCGATAGACGCGTTTCTGATAATCGGGTGGCAAAGGTAGAGCGTAGAGATGTAGATTTGGACTTCTTGTATTACGACGCATTTGAGCGAAGAGCTCTTGTTCCCAGAATTTGAAATGATTTCTGCGCGGACGTTGGGTCCTGGTGAGGGTGCACTTTTTGGACATCTTTGAGTGTAGGTGATGGATGTGAGAGATTGAATCAAATGAATATATCCAGAACTAACGAAGAGGTTCCTTTGGCTGATAAATAGATGGAAGATGTAATGATACTATCTAGTTAGAACTATCTAGGTAGAAAAGCAAACGCTTTTCAGCGTCTGCCTATCGGACTATGCAGTCGCTTTCCCCTCAGCCATACAATTTTTACTCAACATCCATGTGCCGGAATCGTGCATATTTTATAACAGCCTCCGATTGTTCAGTTCTGCCTAGGAGATTTACTACAATTCTCGATCAATGGAAAGAAAATAAGGAATCGCAATCAACTACGCCACTCTTCTTTTCAATCAACTCTCACCATCTAGCAAAAGGGGGGTGATAATAGAATCCGAAAAAGTATCTTCGGTACTCTGATACGAAACTACCGCATATATACACCGTTTGACGAGCAACTATTCTACGAAAGTAACATACTTAAACATATCATGGAACGATGTTGTCAACTGTAAATGATTCACTCGGATCATCTCTCTCAACGCCGGAGGATCAGACTGGAAATTTCTACCCGGCCTAACATGCAGCCCAATCACAAATGTGCCGTGCCGACAACAAAGCAGTTATCCGAACCGCAAGCCACCATTATGATGAAAAAAGTTCAAAACGACAAAGATTACTAAATCTCATGCTCATGAATTTAGGCAAAAACAAACAAAAACCTAATTTCCAAACCAAAGCCAAAACAAGAAACTAATTTGTGCTACTAACTATTCAGTCACATGCTTTCGTAAAATGCTAACACAGCCACAAATAAGCAGCTGGTGCCACGACATAATTGTTTCAAAACAAACGTGGAGAAATCCAGTCTTGAAAGTTTCTTATCGGTCCTGTCGGTCCTGTCGGTTCTATCGGTCCCATCTTATCTTACCAACTTCACGGGTTTTCATATCCATTTCGTCGTGATTCATAGAGTGCATATGTATCTATGGAGTACGTCTTCCCTCCCGTAATGTAAATCATTGGACTCTACATATGTTACTGCACTCCTCTCTCCTGCATGAATTCCTCTATTTTCCACGCTCGTCTCCATCAAAAGACCTGCGTGCAAGCGTACACAACGTACAGAAGCGAGCGGGAGACCGCCGGCGCCGAATGGCTCCATAGCGGTAAGCGACAGGACGTTGAATTTCGTCCTCGCATGCTTCGGAGTCCATAAAAGATTGGGATATGATTTAATAGCACAGATTAATTCTTCTAGGGAGTAAGCTTTTTTTTTTCTTTCCAAGGAAGAGGTGACTTGGATGCATGTAAGCCTAACAAATCTTGCTGTTGGACCAAAAGTTCGACGACACGATGCACGATGGAGATTCACATTTCCACTTTCATGCATGAGGTTGCTTTGGGAAGGGATATCCTATTGGACGAGAAGGATTCTCTTCCGTATACACTGGTCCCGTTCCTCTTCTTAGTGAAGAACGATTTCGGTTTGATAATTTTTGAATCCAATGATTTCGAAGTGATTTTAGATATTAGTGGAGGGGAATAAACGATGATGATCCAATGAAGGGGTAAGTTCGAGAGCTAGAAAGAAGAAGCTCTCGCCTCATTGATCGATAGGAGATTTTCATCCCCATAAGTATTTTTTACTATTTATGAACCAAGAATCCAGGATGCCATTGCCATCACGATTCACGATTCATTCACCCCAAGAAAGAATCCACAACATTTCTCAAGGAAAGACTAAAACTCCCCCTTGCAAAATAACTATCACTCCACATAAATTATGTGAAATCGGTTTGATTCTCCGATATGTCCCCTCCAAACCTTCCAAAAGGCACCTTGAAATCCGATCATCCCATCTATCATCGTGGACTTGTATACTTCTATACATATAACTAATACATATACCTACAAGCCCAGGTATACCTACATGCTTAAATGAAGTCGTGACCCAGTTCTCCACAGGTATTCATCTCCATCCTAACATCATTCACAAACCCATCCATACAAATAAACCTCTCAAATCCCTCACTCTTCGCTGTCCCACGAATTTCCTCAGTTGATCTGCCATACTTACCTCCTTTTCCTTTCTTTCCACCTACCTACCTGCTTGACGTACCTGCTTGACGGAACGGACTCTCTCACGTCCTACATTTCTCGTTCCCCAAAAAATTCCCACTTAAATCTCCCCCGCCATCAGCTCTTCACCGCACTTTTTTGGCGGTAAAGAAGTAGCTTGCTTGCTTGATTGCTCGCTCAGGGAATCTACTTCTTATTCTTTTCACAAGCCAAAAATTCCATTCACTTCTTTTCCAAATCTTCTTTACGATACCACATTCCGAAAAATAAGAAGCCGGTCTTCTCCTTTTCTCTCAAAAAATATACCCATATCATACGTTCAAAAATGGCTCCTCCTATCACAGAAACCGTTACCATTATCAATAAATCGGGGAAAGTAGTCAGCACTGTAAGTATTTCTTTCGTTTTCCCGAGGTTTTCCCTTGGAATTCCCCTCATCCGATGTTACACACATACAAAATGATGCGGTGACTAACCAGCACATTTTTGGAAAAAAATAGGGAAAACAACTCGTAAACATCTTCAAAGATGCCAAAGCCGCATATCAAGAAAAGAAAGCACAATTGAGAGAAGAACATTATCTTCGGGAAGAAGCACGATCATATCGAGCACAGAGACGCCTCAACGAAGCTCGATATGAAATTGAAGAGGCACGAGGAGGAGGGGGAGATGATGCACAATCGATAGCTTCGAGAAGATCTCATAGATCTCATCGTTCACATCGTTCTCATTCTTCTCGTCAGGAACCAAGAGATTCGTCTCGTCCTCCTCTTACCATCAATAACTATGAGGAATTCCCAGATACGCAAAGTTTGGCCAGTGGCCGCTCCCATCGTTCTCATCGTTCCCACACGAGAACCCGCCAGGAATTTAATTTCGATGATTTGGACGAGGAAGAAGATATGCAAAGTCTCGCAAGCAAACGTTCACATCGATCTCATCGATCGAAACGAAGTCGTTCGGTTCATGGTTCCAAAGCTCCCACTCAATATGAGCCTGCGGAAACCCATTACGAAGATCCCGAAGAGGGATTTTATGATGACCCTCCTCTAGCCATGTATCGCCAACCATTCGCCGAGACGGAATTGAGTCTCGCGCGGAGACATACAGAGATGGAAGCTGCTCCTCCCATGCCAGGGCATCTCGTAAGGAGAGAAACAGCTCCTGCTACGTATACCAGCGGACAATTAGTCCCACGTGCAACTTCCGTACCTGATCTTCATGATGACTCAATCGATATGGATTTGGCATATGGAGATGCCCATCACTTTGAATCTGACCCCGAGCCAGAATATGAAGAGCCAATCGCCCCGCAACAACTCCCAGCAGAACTCGACGAAACAATGAGTAAACTCGATACTCTTCTCATCGAAGCCCAATGTCTTCACCACACCGCCACAGCTATCATGTCGAATCTCCAAGCCAACCCCGAAGCCATGGCCGCCGTAGCTCTCACCCTCGCCGAGCTTTCCTCCCTCCTCACCAAAATGTCTCCCTCCATCCTCCCCATGCTCAAAGCCAGTTCCCCCGCCATCTTCGCCCTCCTCGCATCTCCTCAATTTCTTATCGCCGGAGGTGTCGCTCTAGGCGTCACAGTCGTCATGTTCAACGGCTTCAAAATCATCAAGAAACTACAAGCCACTCCCGAAAAACCACTGGAAGCTCCCATGGCCATGCAAGCCCTCCCCGCTACCCCCAACTATCCTGACACACCCGGATTCATGGAACCCAAAGACATGCACCATGAGTACGAAGAAGCGATGCCCTACGAGGCCTACGAGGAAGAACTAAGCAGCATCGATATCTGGCGTCGCGGTATCGCCGATGCAGAAATAGAAAGTGTAGGCACAAGTGTAGATGGTGAATACATTACCCCCACCGCAGCACGACAAAAGGAAAGTCGCCACGCAGAGCGAATCCGTCAACGTGCCGCCGAGGAAAGAATCGACGAGAGTGAAGAAGAAGAAGAAAAGAGAAGCATCATGAGTCGCTTGACGAGTAAATCTCGTCGTTCCAAAACTCTTCCCATTAGAGGTAGTCCTTCCGAGTACGAACCTTCCGTCAAGTCTAAAGATGACGATATCGAATCCATCCGTACTTCTCGCACCAAGACTTCAAAATCTACAAAGTCTTCTAAGAGTCATCGATCGAGTCGCTCGAAGAAAGATGAGGATAATGCATCGCTTGCTTCTGAGCGAACGGAACGTATAGAGAAAGAAGAAAAGGAACCCAAGGAAAAGGAAAAGAAAAAGAAGACGCCTTTGAGTATTTTCAGAAGCAAGACGGAGAAGAGTACGAGTTTCAAGGGAAAGGAAAAGGAGAGCAAGAAAATGGGTCATCATCCGCTTTTACTTGAGCTTTGAGATTTGAGCTGAGCTTAAGTTTGACTTCTTTTACGACTTGATCCAGGTTTTGGTGTTCTGGGGGTATTTCGTTCGATGCGTAGCTCATCTCATCTACTCACTCCAAATCAAACGCACCCCACAATCCTCCCAAATTGGACCTCACTTCTTTCTTTCCTCTTCTTTTCTTTCTCTTCTTTTAGCGGATTTTCAACCAATTAGTTGGTCGGTTATTTATTCTGGTTCGGTAGCTTTTGACGAGTATTTCAACTCACCTCAACTCAACTCATCATTCCCTCACTTCTCTTCTTGTTCTCACTCC